TCATGAGCCTGCGACCCACCTGACCTGTTACAGTATTGTTATTCAAATTATGCCAACTGCAAGTGACAAGTATTCATTCAGGGAGCCATGATGTTAGGCAAAGATTTCAGGACGAAATGACGATTCTCGTGGATAAAATATGGTGCCTGGTGTGTTCAAAGCTACCTGCTCTTCCCGGCCACAACAACAACGTGTAAGTACATGTACTAGTAGTCTACAGTTTGCAGGTCGATTGACCAGCTTGTCTCGTTACTGGCAGAAATACATGAGCATAAAATTTTGAAATAAGATGGAGGATTTCAAAATTGTATTATATGCCAGGGTGTCTTTTTACAGTACAAATGTACATGTAACCCCCAAGTTTTGGCAGTTTATCTGTTTTAGCTGAGAGACAGCGGGAATGCTCAGTTCGATTTGTATTTCGTAAATATTGTGACGATATCTAGTCTTGAAATATTAAAATTTTGATATATATAGACTCTTATATGGAAATTGCGTAAACAGCAGAAACACAAGGTATTCACTATATATATGAAAGAGAACAAATACTGCATTGAATTAAAACCGTGGAATAAATGATTTCTCGTGTGTCTAAAATTCTCATTTTAAATATGTTATTTCAGTCGCCAGTGCATTCAAGAGACGAAGATATGTCCCCATGGAGAAGTTACAACAGTCGAAATGCACCTTTTGATTTCAATAATCCTGAGTGTGAACATTTGAAAGAAGCCTGTAATCCAACAGTTAAAATTGATATGTTTCTTAACATTTTTGTGTTATTAAGGGTTTACTTGCAAATTATGTACGTGCCTATTGAATATGTATGAATTATAGTGACTGTTTGCCTTAGATTTCAGCCTTGAATGGTACTACGGTAAGTAGGCATTGCCTAGCATGTAAGGCCAAAACCCCGAGGCAAATGACTATATGGCCCCTATATTTGTAACATATTGTCCCACCAAAACGAAGAAAGCACTTTACCAATTTTGTTTAAATTTGGGTCATCGGCGAATCCTAACGTGAGAGAATGTGCCAGATTTCAAAACGGGTTTGGTTATTTGAAAATTTGCATGCCAGAACACTCCGTTTCGCTTCCTATTTCATCGACATTTTTTTGAAATAATAGGTCTAACTGTCTTACTGCCAGTTGACTTTTCCAATTTTAAGTAGGTATGGCATAGTATTAGAAAATGGTTTCTAAAAGCGAGACAGTACACAAACTGTGCACGACAGGGAGCAAATATGTATTATTTTGTAGTCGACCCTTGCTTACTTTTATACAATTACAATTACGATTTCTACTTTTTGACTGAACATCCCAACAGAAAGTTAATATTTCTCAGCGTCATTTTGTACCAATATATAAAACTGAGCGAGTCTGTTGTAATTTTTTCAATGAGATTTTCTATGTACATTATGTCAGTCTAGTTTGTGCACTTAACAGTTTAAGGCAACATTGTCCCATTTTAGCTTTTGAACCAACATATGTAACCTATATTTGATATATTTAACGTTTAAACATGTATTTTACAATCCTTTAAAACTTTGAACTATTGTTAGAGAATATTATTATTATTATTATTATTATTATTATTATTATTATTATTAAATCTGCGACTTCTGGCTGTCCTTGTACAGAATCATGATAACCAGTGGCCTTTCCACGATTGCGATATATATATGTGTGTGTGTGTGTAGTGATTTGTAGTTTGGATGAGTGTGCACGTTAATTTTAATTGTATTACACAGGGAATTTTAATTCTTATGATTACTCCGAATAAACTCAGATGTTTGGCTTGTCGTACTCTGTAGTAACACATTAAATGCTATTTCCTTGATATTGTGTGTTTTGAGCCGCACGTTAATATCACTGAAGTTAAACGAATAAAGCCTGTTCACAACTTTCAACGTCTTCGTTGTTTAATTATTCAGATTTGATATTTTTCTCTCTAGTGCTTGTCTTAGTATTATTTGAATAACGATTTTAAAAAGTTTCATCTGATTTTGTCCATTTCGATCTCCTATTCTTTTTTCTATAACTTTAGAATCGGTTGTGGTACCAACTGAGCCATTGGCCCCAAAGAATTTCGCGCAAATTTAAACGAAACCTTTATAGTCAATGAGGTCCAATTCTTTTTTCTACAAAATGAATGTTCCATGGGACTCGATCCTGTAACCTTCTGGTCCACAGTCTGCAACGTTACCAGTTGCTCTATTCACCCAACCACCCACCCTAAACTTTGCATCTTCCCTTTATAGTTATGGGACTAAAACTCTTTTTTTTTTCACAAAAATGTGTCGTGTTTAGGAATCGATCCTGTAACCTTCTGGTTTGCAGTCAGCAACGTTACCAGTTGCTCTATTCACCCAACCACCCACCCTAAACTTTGTTTCTCACCTTTATAGTTATGGTACGAATACTCGTTTTTTTAACAAAAATTTACCATATTTGGGAATCAATCCTGTAACTTCAGGTTCTCAGTCTGACATGTCAGCGCTTCCTCTATTCACCCGGTAGTCCACCCAAATTTTCACCCCGCGTTTTAAGNCAGTCTGCAACGTTACCAGTTGCTCTATTCACCCAACCACCCACCCTAAACTTTGCATCTTCCCTTTATAGTTATGGGACTAAAACTTTTTTTTTTTCACAAAAATGTGTCGTGTTTAGGAATCGATCCTGTAACCTTCTGGTTTGCAGTCAGCAACGTTACCAGTTGCTCTATTCACCCAACCACCCACCCTAAACTTTGTTTCTCACCTTTATAGTTATGGTACGAATACTCGTTTTTTAAAACAAAAATTTACCATATTTGGGAATCAATACTGCAACTTCAGGTTCTCAGTCTGACATGTCAGCGCTTCCTCTATTCACCCGGTAGCCCACCCAAATATTCACCCCGCGTTTTTAGTTCTTATCGGCGACTTGACTTTTTTGGACAAATTTTATCAAAATTTCTTTACACAAGATTTTTTGTTCTGTTCGATTCTAGTGTGATCTCAACGTAGAAGGTACGGATAAAATTAACGTTTGGGCAAAATTTATTTTAAAAAATTATGAGTCGGGATTAAAAGATTAAAAAATTCAAATGAACAATGAACTGAACTGAAATAAACAATGCAACGTAGTTAAGCAGTTTCAAGAAATAATTATTTTAAAGGTAATATCAGTCAACAGTATAGCTAGGATTTTTTTCTATTTTAGAAAGCGTTTGAGGTTACGACTATTAAAACCAAAAGACTCGATAAATTTTATGTAACTGCTGAATGATAGATGAAACGCAATTGCTTGTTCAAAATTTGGAGGCATTTTTTGGTAAAATAAATAAAGCAATTTTACAATACGACGACAAGTCGACCACGTGTATACAGATGATGAAAGAATTCAATATTTTAAACAAATTTATTCACATTACAATTATATAAACCAATACAGATAACAGTAATGTTTTTCTCAAGAAGAATCTATTTACTGCTATGTACTATATGGTATGAATCTAGTCACACGAAGGCATGTGAAGTAATTGATTCTTAGGACAAAAAATGAGATTGCATGGATGGTGTAATGACTCGGTTGAACGACAATAATAGCACAGTTTCACTTACATGTAAGTCAATCACAATTCTTTTTATCACTAGTTTCTTGGTGACGCATATCCTGACTATCATAAATACGCCTGTCTTCTATTTACTGTACAACATCAACATTATGCTACTACTGCGTTCGTTGTAAGCCCCTCCACTTGAATCCCAACCTTCAACAATTCTACAAAGTGTCATTATCCATACAAAAAGCAAAAGTCAAAGATGAACTGTTTCCAACCTGGTGGAAATCACCATCTTTTTCGTCAGTGGCCACGTGGTTGTTCGCTCCCTGTTGCATCAAGATTTATCACCCGTTTTATTCCCCAGATCAAATGGCATCAGCATGAAATGTCTTGGAGGCAAACATCTTCCATATAAGTAAAACAAGTGTCTCTTATCCTCAGTATCGCTGCCGTCTTCACCGTCTCATGCTGCCAAAGGAATATCTGTCTGTACTTTTCAACTTACAGTATGGATGGCAATTATTCTAACATCTCTGATAACTTGTCATCCAACCTTGACGTTACATAATTCCATTCAGGCTTCCCACACACAGAGTCAGCAGGTCGGTGATCCGACTAAAAATCTCTCTGTGTCATTGGCCAGTTTACAGCTGTCACTGTTCAGATTTACGTCACATTTGCCGGACAGATTGTTTTGGAAACAGCCTCACGCACGCGCACTGAATTTAAAAAGTATATATTCTTAAGCATATCCTTTAAGAGGCTTCCTTATAATTTCCTATAAATGTTGACAAAGCGGTCTTCCGCACACATGCAAATACTGCTGCCCCTTTTTCTGGCATACCTTTACCCATGGACAAAATTACCAATTTTGTCCAGGCCTTACCTAACCACAAACAGGGATATATATTTTTTCAGTCTTCTGACTGTTAAGTTTATGTGGTCCCTCCTGAATATTACCATTGTACGTAGTATCTTTATTGGCTTTAAGTGACACTCCGTTATTTGGTATCCAAGCGAATGCAGAAGTAGGTAAACATACAAGGAAATATCACTTCTTGGTATATGGACCACTGGAAACAATAGTAATAGTCTCAAAGCGGTCTAATAGCTGTCAAACGTTGGTTTTAGCGAATGTTTAGGGAGGGTGCGGCCATATGAGGCGACTCTGATTAGGGATATGGTTTTAAAAGGTTAATCATTTCCACATAAAATTTTCAACTAGGCAAAGGTGTTTTATGGCGTTTGTGGCTAGGACTCGGGTAACATAAAGTTACAGGAGCGTTCATGAAAGCAACGTTATTTAATTTTAAAACTATCAAGGAAAAGGATGCTACTTGGACTGTGACGTATAATTACCACGAAAGGAAAGTTACATATTGAAACCTTAATGTACTGTGGGGTTACCTTATAAAAGGACGGTGTCGTCCGCACCAACGCATAAAATCACTCAAGATGAAAACAACAGGCATCCAAGCGTTCATTATTTGTGTGACACTAGTCTTTATTGTAGAAGGTAATGTATTTTGCTTTTATACAGAGATGCGATTTAGTTATCCTCTACCAGGGCGACAGATTGTTTTTTCACAAGATATTTACAGATATGTCTTTAGATAAATCATTTGGTTTGCTTTTTGAAAAATTCCATATGATATGTGCCACCCAATCTGCGGAATAAACGTATATTGATGCATTTGTTCATAACGGATGCATTGGTATGAGATTCAGTAAAATTTTAATTGCTAAATCATTCCAGGGCGCGATGACCAGGACACCGTGGCCAAAAAGATACTTGATAAAATATCCAGTTTCCTGACCCCAAAGAAAGTAGTGGCGCCCCGTGGACCGGCAGGTCCCGGTGGCCCCTCTGTAAGAGGACCGGCAGGACCAAGGGGAACACCAAGGGGGGCAACAACTACCTACGTGACCCCCAATCTGGATTTCCTGTACGTTCTGGACAGCAGCGGTAGTATTGGATCTGAGCATTTTGACAAGGTGAAGAAAGGGGTACAGGTAAGCTATAGCCTAGTATATAAATAAATAAATAAATAAATAAATAAATAAACTTATTAATTAATTTATCGATAAACTGATATATCATCAAAAAATTATTTACACACTTCAATTATTATGCAAGAACATAATCGAAAATCGATCCTGGGTGATGCGTTAATGTGGAATAAGAATTTTTCCACGAAAAGATACTATGAAGAATAAGATGTATGAAATTTGCGCATCGGGCATCACAACGAAAGCTACGGAATTATTTTTGTCAGTGTCCGGATCTTGAAAGGAATTTCAGTAACATTAATATTAAATGTCGGTTTCCCTTAAAGAATACTCACGATCCGACTTGTGATCGAGAATTTTTGTGCTATTTATAGAACTTCGGTGAAATTCGGGGTAACTTCGGTAAATCTGTATTTGCCATTTTGAACCAAGGTGTCTGTATCTGATATATATATATATATATATATATATATATATATATATATATATATCACCTACATGGCAACCGTACATTTATAAAGTAAATTAAACATTAAAAAATTATCAGCCCTTATCGTCTTATAAACGTTTTTTTTTTTTCAAAACACAGGCACAAGTGGACGTAATTGATCTAAAATCGAAGATTTCTCCATCGGGAACCCACGTTGGACTGATAGAATTTTCATCTCCGACCAAAACTCATGTGGAGTTTACTCTACGCCAATATACTAGTGCAGCGGCCATCAAAGCAGCAGTCGGGAAAATCGACTACGACAATGGTAAGGCAGTAAATATTTTTTAGAACAAAACGCTGAGAGCAAATTGTCTTTAAAAAAGTCTCTAAAAAAGATGAATTGTTAAAATGAAATTTCAAACTAAAATAATAATGTCGACATTTTGCGGTTTACATTCTATTATGACGTAAACTATGCAACAAGGCTCTAATAATACTAAAAAAAAAGATGATGAAAATTTGAATGGTAATTTGTTGAAAAACGGTTGTAATCATTAATTTTTTTAATAACATGTACATTTTTTCGAAATCTAATTTGTACCTTATTTGTATCCGTATATTTAGGCCGTTCCACAGCTACGGCTGATGCATTGAGATTGGCCAAGAAACATTTGGATCAATATGGAGTGAGGGAAAATGTAAAAATACTGTGGCTTGTAACTGACGGTCAGTCAAACAGAGGCGGGAATCCAAAAATCCCAGCAGACGAGCTGAAGCGCAACGGTAAGTGGCTAACACACGTATAAACGTATAGTACACGTATGACATTCACAAAAGTATAGTAGTAGCTTGATAAAGAATCATTAATTGATGCGCCTCCTCGAGCAGCCAGAGGGTACATGTAATCAGCTATCGTGTGCTGATTGGGCTGATTCCACTGATTGCACTATAGCGAGAATTCCCTGCTAAGTTGAACCTATCCAGCTAATACTGGTACGATGTGTAAATGTAAACGCGCCCTACATTGTAGAAAAAATCAAACTGAAAAATCTAAGTCTAGAATGGGAATAATTTCTCTTTTACAAAAGAGGCACAATGCGTACCTAAACCGGCTTAAGTGCAAACTCGCCTTTGAATTTTAATAATAACACTTAACATTGGAGGTTGAAATAAATCTCTTTTTACTTTATTTCAGGAGTAGAAATTTGCGTTGTTGGCATAGGGAACAATATAAACTGGAAGGAAATAGAAGACATTGCAATGTCCGACTGTCACTTCAACGTTGAGTCGTACGAAGTTTTACTGGGCATCAACGAGAAAACGCTGGCAATGGCGAGAGCGGCTGCGGCAGCAAAGGCAAGAGCGATGGCAAGAGCGGCTGCAGCAGCTAAAGCAAGAGCGTTAGCGAGAGGAAGAGCGTTGGCCAAGGCCAGAGCCGCGATGGCGCAAGCTAGAGCAAGGGCGATGGCAGGACGGCACTAGTGTAACTCTACGTGGTGATAAATCAAACTGAAGATAAATCTTGCAAATCGTCGGAATTAAATTCCACAAAATGAACTCAGTCTTTTCCTTTTCATAATGATAAAATTTTTATCCAGTTGGACTAAATTCATTCAAAGGTTATGTGACAAGATCAATGGTTTAGTTTTGTTTTGTCTTGTCCGATTTCAATGTACAATCGTAGACTGACGTTTAAATAAATAAAATTAAAACATTTAGTTTGAAGAATATAAGAGACACTCTTCACGCCAATAATAAAGCCAGTTTTTAAACTTTTTTACAAAGCATTTGTATGTTTTTACTTGTCAAAGAGACTCAGTGATGTCTTCTGTTCAGTGATTGAGGCAATGCGTTCTTAAACTGGCTGTCCATTTTTTTTTTCAATCGTGCAAGGTGGAACATATTCATTACTGTGGTAAATCGATTGAGACAATGCTTCATTGGTATGATGACAAAGAACGACAGTGGTTCAAAATTGCTAAAAATTCGATACTTATGCAATATGTCCCCACCCCGACTTATACAAACAAGTCTTGAGGCCATACTGTATTAGAGTGCATTCCCAGAGATTTAGATCGATCCATCCGGATCGACCTAACTCCCTGGGGGTTCACGCTAAATTGCAGTCAGTCAAGCGCGCGACAGTTAATTATCCCCTTACAGCTTTTAGTAGCCAGGACAGACGCTGAAATTTTCAATGAGATTTATTCCAAAAGCTGTGCATAACACGTGGTCGTAACAACACTGCAATTCAACAGCTCAAAGAAATCGTTTACTTATAGGGCTGAGATTGACATTTCTAAACATAATTGCACTCACCGCATTCCCGAGTCCATCAGCACTTGCGGGGCGATAGGAAAAATGAGCACCTGCGTAGTAGCCCGAATCCACGTGACCAATGGTCAAGCTCATCAAGACCAGACATGTCCATGTAATACTGTTCCAAGATGACCGCAAAATGACTCGGCAGCCACTTGGAAAACCTTTTCTCGAAATTTTTCTCAAAATTCCAAAATTAAATCTTGATCTTGCAAGGGTAAAAAAAGATAAAATCTCAATTAAATCTCTTAAGTTATCTTGCACCGGTGCATTACCGTTTCAGCTTAGTCGTAAGCTTTGCACTAGTCCTACGTCCATCTGTGTTTAAGTATATAGGTATGTTTGATCTTCGTAGTGGATGGGATGATATAGGAAGCCGGTCCGCGGTTATTATATCCCCTCACCACAGGGAGCTAGATCCTTCCACCAATCCGAGCGTCTATTCGCAAGAGCAAGGTCGGTCGCTTCACCGGTCGGTCTCTCTTTTACAAATCAACTGCATCGATTGATTCTAAAATTCAACCAGTCGTGGGAGGAATTTTCTTCAACAATGACCTACAATGTCGTTTGAACGTTGACATGAAGTCGCTGATTGTTGTCCCTTCTGAAAAAAAAATGCCCTGACCCCGGAGTGTCTATTTGGAGAGTTTTCAGCCCACGAGACAGAGCCGAGCATCAGAGGCGCTTTATAAGCAGCATGCGCACACCTTGACTTTTAATGATCCAGAGAGAATGCATACTTAATGCCACCGTCCTTATATCGAGGTAGATCGTGTGACATCTTAAGGATGAATAACAAAATTTTATGTAACCAATCACCCCTTTAACTCCTCCGTTCTTGCAATAGACGTATACCGCACCTGCAGAACGCTGACAGTGCCGGTTCACGACATTGGATTTTCTGAAAAAAAGAAAAAGAAAAACGATGTAGATGTAACGCGAGACAAAATTAGGGCGTTCATAGATATTGGCGGTTGATTTGAGGGCGTCTCTGTAATTAACAACTAGTTTTTTTTTCTACGCCTGAAATACCAAGAGTCACCTTTAATTGGTACTCTTTTTTAACCGCGTTACAAATACAGTTTGTGAATGAAAAAAAATCGGACAGTGGAGATTACAACAGAATGTGTGTGGGCATTTAGACAAAATTACGACACAGGAAGAGGTTGTTGCCTTGTAAGCTCTGTCGGGCGCAGAAATTTGATACCGGAGCAAAAATCAATTCCCAAAAAACATTTTCCCTTTTTTTATTCTCAGTCTAATTGCCCATGAAATTTTATGACCCGAAATTCGATGAGACGCGTGGTTTTTAACTTAACAAACACCTTACCTGTAGGGGAGAAAAAAATAGCCGAGCCTGTGGCGTCGCTGTCAGTGCCGCAAGTGCAATTTTTCATCGCCATTTGTGGTCTTTTTCAAATACAAACAGAGTGCTGAAGTCTAGTTTCTAGTTTCCAGTTTCGTTTTCCACTTAAGCCCCATTCCCTGCTTCCGCTGCGCAGGCTGCCTGCGACTGGTAGAAATTATATATTTACTTTAAACGATTTGTGGAGAAAATCAACAGTCCTTCAATATTAGAATTCCTTTTAACAGCATTTCAGATGCCAATTTTTATCTTGTTCAGTAAATTCTCAGGTTTCACTTTGTATATAGCAAGTTTGTATGTAAACAGAAATAAAATGTAATATTAGAACGGATCAAATATGTGCCTTGGACTTTTAATTGGGACCTATTTGGAAAATCTCTGAAACGTGATCTTTACAATTTCACAAAGGAGACCCGAAACCTTAAAATTTGCTAACACGGCTTACGAACAAAGACAAATGACATAAAACGGGACGGCCAATTTTTCACATTTCTGGAACTTCTTATCTTTGAATGCTCTACAAGATCACCCATCAGGATCGGTTTCGTGATGTGGATTTGTAAAAGTAGGCATTTATGCATGAACTTGATATGAAAATCGATCGCCTATTTTTTTACTAGTGTCCCAATGTAAAAATTGGGCAAATCTGATTGGCTGATCTCCATTGTTCGTGTTCAAAACACGTGATATTAGATAGCCATCTGTCGTCTGCCTTTTTTCCCCGTTTTGTGATGCCGAAGCAAATTTCAAAAATTAAACAAAACGTTATGGCATGTAACTTTGTCGTTTATTTGATTCGGCAAAATAAGCTTGACGGCTAGCTTTTGTTCATTGTATCTTGATCAGTGAGCCATCAAAATTTTAGCATTGGTTTTTTTGTGAAATAAAGTTGTATTGCGAAGCCTTCAATTTAGTTTTCAGACATTTATTTTTTTTATTACATGAAGTTGAAGTTCTGAATTTTTTTTAATGAAATGATGTCTATCTGTATATTTTGTGTGTGGGTGTGTGTTTTAACTCCTTGCTATAACATATTGCACGAGTGTTCAACCATGCGCAATCTAGATACCAAGTGTGTAATTGTCACATCGATGTGGAATTTTTCTCTTTCTTTGGCAGGTGGACGCGTTCACATAGGTCAGGGCCTATTCTGGCCTATAGCATGGTTTATTTATAAGGAGGAATGCAGGTTGGATTCTCAAGGCTTTCACACCAGCTAGTGTGAGACGTCTATCAATGTAAATCGTTGATAATTTTTACGAAATTACAATATATTGTTTAGTTTTAAGATGGAGAATTGAGGGAGGGTTGCTCTGATGAATGAACAAACTAAATAAAATACGTAATTATTTTTAAATTCTGCAGTTTATCATTACTAAAAAATGTGAACATAAATGTGTGTTTAAATGAAAATATGTAGCTAAAGTCAAGCAAAAAGAGCATTGATACATTTTTCTTGATAGAGATTCACGTTCTTGTGATTACCTTCATGTATTCGAACTTACATTCAATAAATTATATGTTAATACGAAAATAATCAAATAGAAAACCACATACCTTCCAAGCTCTGTACATGCAACATACCAGACCAGCAATGTCTTCAGTTTTTGCCTGAGGCACGAACGCTAAAAGCAATATTATACCCAACATCATATTGTTAATAAAAGTGCATTTCGGTACAAACGTGTTTTGATAATCGCTACCTGAACCGCTGTGGTGATGTAACGCTTACACGGATCTTGCTTAAACGCATTTCTCTTTTTATGATACTCTTTTTGATACGCTTTCTAAAGCACTTAGTGGTATATATTAAAGCATCTGCTTGACAAAAATGTCCTTACTAGAATCAGCATCATGCGCTTTTGTCATACATATTGTTGAAAGAAAAATGCACTTAAAACCGTCCATACTACACCGTGTATTAAATAAGGTGTTTACTTTTTATGAATACTGTTAAAAGGAATTCTAATATTGAAGGACTGTTTATTTTCTCCATAAATCGTTTAAAGTAAATATATAATTTCAGAAAATTTAGCTTACTTCTTTAAACTATAAATTAAAAATACAATTCCACTGCTTCTGGTCACAAAATCTTATAGAGAGAAGTGAGGGCAATTCATGAGCATAACACATCTTTTTAACCTTTAAAATGGAGAAGCTAAAGACAGCAAGACTCAAACCCTCCTTCGAACCGAGTTACAGATTTTTGTGGAAATGGCAGATGAGCATATTGATAATTAAAGGCCAATAATCTATGAAACTTGGGATGTATACCTCCCAACTTCCTACCTGAAATATTGCTAACAAAATGTTTCATTTTGGCCTTTACTTTCTTACTTCATTTCTGGATGGAGGTATCAATAAGGTGGAATCTTTAATGTGCTTAGAACTTAGGTATAAGGCAAAATTTACAAAATTTGGTGGATGGTGGAAGAATATATCGAATGAAAGTGACTAATTTTGATACAATAGAAAATCTCCTGCAATGTAAAGCATTGCCTTAACATCTTGCAAAACTAGAAATAAAGTCGAGATACAATAGAATGTCTTCCAGCGCAAAGTCTTATTCTAAGAATGCTCGGAAAACTAAAAATAACTATTGCAAATAAATAAGAAAAACTTCCCATCCACAGAGAAAAGTCTTAGAATAATATGTCTACAAATTAGTTAGAAGTAACTTTTTAGATACAAAAGAAAGTGTCCCTTAGCTCTCGATCAGGTTCTTACATTTCTTGTCGGCAAACTAAATATGACTATGTTGAATACACCAAACAGCGTCCAACGCCGCAATATCATGCTCCAGAATACACGTTCTCTACACGTATATTTACAAAATTGTGCTGACGTATTTTTTTTTCAAATGTCAGAAATCAACTTCATGATAGGCTTTTTGAGTGGGTAGTTAGTAATGACAAAGGTACTACTTCAGGTGGTCTTTTGCTGGACTAAAGGCTGTACGACGTCGTGAGAAACGTGTCGGAAATCGTGTGTTTTTGTTTAATGATCATCTTTACCTGCGTGACCAAACCCAAAGTAATTTACGGTGATTTCAACATTTTCTTATGATTATATTCTCAGCACAGCAAGGGCACAAGCGATTGAAACCTGGATTAGAGGCTGGTGGATATTTGTATGGTAGTAAATGGTTCACCCGGTTCATTTTTATCATTATGGAGTGCCATAGTTTTATACCTCAAACACACCTCATTTAAAGTACGCGTTTGGCTTGATATTTTATAGTCAAGTAAACGTACTGCTTTTTTTTTCAAAAGTGTTTGATGCCGTTTGGATGTGAAAAGACATATGTCTTAATTGGACCCTATACGTTGCCTCACGATGCGTCCCCTCTCTCCTCTGTCTCCTTCAAATGCAAACTGACATAACAGCGTATTATAGAAGACCCGACGTCGTCTTCAAGGTATTAACCGTATTTACGTCAACTCAGATCATTGTGTAAGTACAAGGCAATTTCAAACTTCATTTCAAGTCTGCATTCTTCCACCCTCTACCAGGGCAACTGATAGATTTTTTATAAATATTAACCAGAACCAAATGAATTAGAACCAAATGACCATCTATATATCTACAGACATATCTGTGATTATATGCAAAAAATCTATCAGTCGCCCTGGTAGAGGGTAGGTCTCTAGTGCAGCCAGACACAAAATTGAAAAAGAGACAATTCAACAATCTTGAAAGAGACTACTAGAGACCCCTGTGGTCAGAGAGTAAAGGGTCTGCAGGGAGGCAGAATTGCGGCAGAAGGAGGCAGAAGTATGGCCGGCGCAGCTAAAAGATTGCCGTGGAGGCATTACGGTCACCATTATCGTTTACGCAGGTATATCTCACTGCCCCAAAACTTACACCAGAAAGTTGATTTTTCCACCTTAAATTTTCAGCAGTTGTTTTATTTTATATCGTTCCAAAAATTGAAAAAGTAACGACAAAAACTGACAAGAGGATACACTGACAAAAACAAAATGCCAATTGGAACGTGACGTAAAATCACCGCAAATGGGGAAACTAACACACAGCAACTTTAATGTACTGTGCGGTTACCTTATAAAAAGACGGTGCTACTCGCCCCGACACGAGAGCACTCAAGATGAAAACGACGAGCATCCAAGCGTTCATCATTTGTGCGACATTAGTCTTCAGTGTAGAAGGTAACGTATTTGACTTTGGTGCAGCTGGTGCGATGCAGTTTTATTCAGACAGATGATATTATGAACTTATATTGATGTGCTTAGCAATCATTTTGGAATTCAGTTTGGGAACCTCTCATTTTTCTTTGGTCACAGTAGAGATAAATTTTGGTCCCAAAAGGTGACAAAGATCATAATTCATGGGGTGAAGTTCTTTTGTGAAACGGGCAGTATGTCAGTGTAAAATTTACATGTGCGCAATAATATATATATAATAAACATTGCCTTTGCTTTGGCAAACATGCATATGTATTTTCAACTCAGGTTCAAGTTTTTAAAGTTTGATTCCCTCGACCTCTGCGTCAGCGAAGGGGGAATTTCAGTGCTAGAACTGCAATACACTGGGTACCTATTGTTCTTTGAAACTCTTGTCAAAGAATTGGACGGTGTCCAATATATAGTGCTATTGGAAAATTAACGGAAAGCTGACAAGGGATTCCTTCTTCCTTTTCTTTTTTTGTAAAGATGCTTATGACTGCCATTTCTCCATGTGGGCAAAGGGTGTTTGAAACCGTCTATGGAGACATTTTGTAATTTGTAAAGACATTAACATTTAAAAGCTTGCCCATGAAATCATTATACATTACAGCTTAACGCCATTAAAAGTTTTGATGCTCTCCACACTAAAGAAACTTGAGGAAACAATTAAAGACACATATCACATTAATTTGGTTGATTTGTAGGTGACATTGAGTAAAAATTCTAATTGCTACACCATTGCAGGTCGCGTAGATCAGAATGCCATGGCCAAAAAGATCCTTGATAAAATATCCAGTTTCCTGGTCCCAAAGAAAGCGGCGGCGCCCCGGGGACCGGCAGGGGGCAGTGGCCCCCCTGGAAGCGTAGCAGCAACAGCGGTCAAGGGACCATTGGGATTAAAGGCTACATCAAGGATGGCGGCAACTGCAAAGAAAGCGGTGGCGCCCCGGGGACCGGCAGGTCGCAGTGGCACCCCTGGAAGCGTAGCAGCAACAGCGGTTAAGGGACCATTGGGATTAAAGGCTACATCAAGGGTGGCAGCAACTGCAAATGGCGAGCCACCCAACTTGGACTTTCTTTTTGTTCTAGACAGCAGCGGTAGTATTAAAGCTAAGCATTTTGACAAGGCCAAGAAAGCGGTACAGGTAGCTATAACACGATATATTGATAAAAACATAATTGAGGCGATAGATTTTTATGAAGTAATAAAATGTTTCAATTTCACCTAGCAAGCCTCGGAATACACATACGACCATATTGCAACATATCCTCAACTTTAATACGACCTATCAACCTTGCTGGTGGAATTAAAGACCATATTAACACTTTTGATCTTTTCTTTACTTGCCCATGAAAAATTCTAATTGCTACACCATTGCAGGTCGCTGAAATATTAAGTTGGGTACTAACATATCCACAAGAAAAAAAAAGCCCTAACTTATAAAATTAGGAATAAAATAGACCTCCAAATAAGTATTACTATATACATGTAGTACATGTTGCAATATGGTTGTACACATCCTATTTACATCAGGCACAAGTGGACATAATTGATCTAAAATCGAAGATTTCACAATCTGGAACCCACGTTGGACTAATAGAATTTTCATCTCCGGCCAAAACTCATGTGGAGTTTACTCTACGCCAATATACTAGTGCAGCGGCCATCAAAGCAGCTGTCGGAAAAATCAATTACGACAAAGGTAAACATTCACGGGACAGGGTCAATTTTTTCCAATTCAAATATGATTTCAACAGTCTTTAATGGGTAAATTCTTAAAAAGAAATTTCAAATTGAAAAGCTGATAATTTTGCGGTTTTCTTTTATCCAATAGCCAGTGTGAACTGTGCCCCAAGGTTTTCGCATATTTAGTTCATGTACCATCAACCTGTACGAAAAGCAAATTATTTTCGAACGAGAAAAAGTGCTCCTTGGTAAATTTTATAACAAATTCGTTTTTGTTTATTCATTATTTTTTCTTCCTTTCTCGTTTGCATTTATGATTGTGCATATAAACTGATTTGTTTAAAAAAGTATTTGAATGGGTTTATATCTAGGCAGTTCAACAGCTACGGCTGATGCACTGAGATTGGCCAAGAAACATTTTGATCAACATGGAGTGAGGGATAATGTAAAAGTATTGTGGGTCATTACTGACGGGCAGTCAAACAGAGGCGGGAATCCAAAAATCCCAGCAGACGAGCTGAAGAACAATGGTAAGTGGTTAACATAAACGCAATCTGGAATGTGACGTTCACTAAAATGTATTAGTAGATTGTTGAAAACTTAACCAAACGAACATGATTTCAGTGTTAAAATACCGTTACATACAATGTTACAAATACCTACAATGACTGGATAACATTCTTCAACAGTAATAAAACAGTAGGATTCTCTTAAACACATTTCAAAATGAAGTGATAAGACCTAAAATAAAAAAGGTCCTAAGCAAGACGGGAACACTTTGTCTTAACTAAAAGCGCACGCGTACAGATTCCTTTTTATTTGTTTATTTATTTATTTATCCTTTAAATTAATTAATCTAATTATTATTTCTTTATTTCAGAAGTAGAGATTTGCGTTGTAGGCATAGGAGACAGAATAGACTGGGACGAAATCAAGGACATTGCACTGCCTGACTGTTACTTCGACATGGAATCTTATGAACAGATGCTACAAATCACAGTGCTAGCACGGTCAATGGCCAGGAAAGAGGCTGCTACAAAAGCTTCACAGGCCAAGAGGGCATGGACACTCGCCGTAAACAAGGCAAAAACGGCCACGGTGGCAAAAGCAAAAACGGCTACGGTGGCAAAAGCAAAAACGCCGCCAGACGCTGCAGCGCTGGCGAAAGCGGCTGCGGCAGCGAGAGCGAAAGCGTTGGCCAAAGGAAGAGCGATCGCAATATCAAAGGCCAAAGCCGCTTCGACGGCGATCGCAAAAACGTTTGCGAAAATGAATTCGATGGCAAGACAGCAATAGCGTTACTCTGCATATTGGAAAATTAAGCAGTTGGTGCACGCCTATCAAAAATGGTGGATATAATTTCTACGAAAAACTTTCTTTTAGAGATAATAATAATTGAAAAGTTATCCAACTGTCCCAAAACATTGCAGGTCGCTGAAATATTAAATTGGGTACTAACATGTCCACAAGAAAAAAAAAACCCTAACATGTAAAATTAAGTATAAAATAGACCTCCAAATAAGTATCGCTATATACCTGTACATGTAGTACATGTTGCAATACGGTTGTACACATCCTATTTACATTAGGCACAAGTGGACATAACTGCCAAAATATTTTTATTCCACGTTTAAACAAGTATCAATATCTTCAGGTGAATAACAGAAGGTTTATATTGCTAATTTTCCATGATAATGCTCTGGTGTCAATGAAAACTGTCACGGTTCAGCTGCCTTTTCGAACAAGGAAGTAACAATATATGTATGAAATGTGCAGACAATAAATAGAATTATAACAACTGAGTTCATTTGTATTGCTTCATAAAAATATTGATGTTTTATTTCTGAATAGTATATTGTCAAAGGAATTAACTGTACTCTAGCCCTTTTCAATTCGTAATCATATTCAAGCCTTATGCCCCATCTGAATAATATATAATCATGTTGCATATTCTGACAAAGAAAGAGAGATAAACCTAATCAAGAGTAATGCTTCATATAAATCCATTCCAAGTAAATAAATAGACAAATTAACTAAGAAAGAATAATATTTAAAAAAAAGATAAATTCATTAACTAAAAACAAAAAATGAAAACTTCTTTCCTTTATGTACACCACTACATGTATATAAATAAAAGAACTACATGACTAACGATGTAATCGAAGCAGAAAAAAAAGCAAATAGTTTTAAATACTGCAAAAACTTATGTTGCCACCCTTAAACCCATGGCATACGTTTATTAAAATGCAAAGCAAGGTCTCTATCCTGTACTTTGACCAGACAAAACACAGCATGATTATTGAAAAAAAAACATTAAAATTAATAATTGTAATATACAAAATGGTGGCCTAAATTTTGTGAAATAAAGTGTTACTATTGCTATTGTGTTGCATTAAAAAAACTGGCAAAACTGTATGCACTGGCAATGGTTATTGCATCTTTTTATTCATCACACTTTCTTAAAACAAATATAGAAATATATACATATCAGGTGGATGAATAATCACACCAAACAGATTTGATATTCACATTTCTTCAACTAAACAATTATGAAATAGTTGACAGATTTTGGCAAATTAATTTTTTTAACTAAAATTACTGAAATTTCAATTAAAAAATCTGTTCTTATTTACACATTATTCCTTATTAATTTATGATAACAGCTCAAGTTTGACAATTACAATTCAAACCTACATTGATAAAATATTCTTGGTTAACATATAAGCAGGAAAAAAAACAATAGTTCATTGCACTTGGGTACTGAATGTGCTGACAAAGATCCATCTCAATATTTTGCCATCAAAACAGCAAAGTTATTAAAACTATATTTTAATTTAAGTTTGTAATATCCACGCTGGTGGCCTAAATTTTGTGAAATATAGCAAATATAGAAATATATAACATATCAGGTGGATGAAAAATCACACCAAACAGATTTGATATTGATAATTTCATATTTCTTCAACTAAAGATGTTTGAAAAGGTTGATAGATTTTGGCAAAGTAAATTTTTTCACTAAAATTACTGAAATTTCAATTAAAAAATCTGTTCTTATTTACACATTATTCCTCATTAATTTATGATAACACAACTCAAGTTTGGCAATTACAACAGAAACCTTCATTGATAAAATATTCTTGGTTTACATACAAGCAGAAAAAAAAAACTCTAGTTCATTGCACTTGGTGACTTAATTTGATGACAAAGATTCATCTCAATATTTTGCCATCAACAATAAACAGTTTTCAGTCCATAACACAGAGCATGTTCTTACAATTTTACTGTCGCTGACCAGGCGCCAGTTCCATCATGGAGAAGTGATTGGTCACTTGTGAGGGCACCTCTGCCAGAACTTGTTTGGCCAGTTCTATTGGGTTCTGAAGGACAGACTGACCATTATGAGAAATCGCTCTCTCATTTTACTTTCAAAATATCTCAAAATAAACCATCAATCATGACATTAAAAGAATGTAGTTGAAACATACTCACAAATGTAGAAAAAATATAATAATTATTACAGTGATCCTATAATAAATCTAAATATCAGATCTTACAAGCTTTACCTAAAATATAAATTCACTTGCTTCCAACTGTTAGTATAAAACTGAACATAAAACAATTATAAATTTTTTTCAAAATTAGTAGCTGACTACAGCTACACTACTTATTGGAACAATCACCAACAAAGTAACTAGTTTCAAGCAAAATATAAAAGCAAAATATAACCCGAACTTTGGAAGAAATTCAACTCTTAAATTTGAAAATCAGGATGCACCAATTTTTACTGACAGTAAAGCAGGCAGAAGAAACAGGGGGTTCTCAAGAAACATGTCAGTCTATATTTTGTGACAGTCATCAACCATCATATATGACTCGGTTCATATGGATGGGAGGGGCCTTATATGATGGACATGTCTATCACCTATGTATTGACAGCCGAAGGGGGCGGAACTTCTGGAGCTACGCCCATCATCCTGTAATATTGCACAACTTGTTGAGGAAGCTCTGCCAAGACATTTTTTGCTAGTTCTGCAGGAGGCGCCTGAGAGAAATCCAAAGATACCCAATTAGTAAGCAACATAGAGGAGAACAATATCTTTCTCTCTCTCTCTTTAATTTTCTGCAAATCACATTTTCGCGAAATGAACAAGCATGGGATAGTTGAAGTTGAAAGTAAAAAGAAAATCAACAATTTTTTTTCAATGGGGCAGCTGAGATGTAAAAGGAAAATTATTCTACTTTTGAAAGAGCTGACATTGAAAAGTAAAAAGAAAATCAAGTGTTTTCTTTCTGGAGAAAAATGACTCACAAGTTGAGAATTAGAGATGGAATAATAGGTTAAAGGATTCCAATTGTAACAATTAAAAATTCTGCAAGATGACGTATAGAACCATTACCTATCAACAGCTTTTCTCATTTTTGAAAATCAATTTTTTTATAAGAATAACATGTCATAAGTCCAAAGGAAAGCAAAAAGGATTTAGAAGATGAAGCAAAAGCCTTTATGTATGCTGCAAAGGTAATCAAAATATTAACTTTTTTTGAAAACAAAAATCAACTTCAGGCATTCATTAGATATAACAGGCATAGAATAAGTTATTTTTAAAAAAAGAAGACTTACCTGTTGAAACCTCCTGAAAGGCACAAACTGCACAATATCTCTTCGTACAGGCTCCCCGCGAGCAGAGCGTAAAACTCCATCATCTCCATCGAGAAAGTTCATAGCGGAGAAATCTGCGGCACCAACCCCGACGATGATGATTGACATTGGAAGTCCGGATGCGTACACGATGGCCTCTCGTGTCTGGTCAAGATCAGTGACCACTCCATCAGTGATCAGGAGAAGAACAAAGTAACTCTAAAACAAAGCAAATTTACCGCGTGTACTACATGTATGTTTCTGAAAATGATTAGTTACCCCATCCCGGAAATGTATACCACACAATAAAAAGGATCTGAAACTCAGCATTACATAACAGCAGAGATATGTTAAATAATAAAGTGCATAGCAAGTAACCTCTGACCCCATGGGCAAGTTCAGGGATCTTGAGGTCATCATTTTCCAGGAATCATTAAAACCCAGGGTACTTTACCTTGGCTCCACCCTGCTGGTGTGCTGCTAGGGCAAAGTTGGCCACATGGTAGATCACAGGGGCTATGTTGGTGGGACCGTATAACTGGACTTGACCAATACAATTCTTGTAAGCCTCTATGATGCCATGGACACCTGAAATATACAAAACATTTTTTTTTCCAATACGTAAATGACAGAAAATATTAATAGGAAAAAAAAAGAATGACATGCCGAGTTATGCAATAGTTTGAAAAGCCCTAAGCTTGCATTTGAGAGTGGCTTTCAAATTCTTTTTTAAATTACAGTCTTCTAGGTATATACCACCAGCTGGGTTAGGCATATTAAAGGGACCAAAACACACAGAGACAGTTAAAAAGTTATTAAGTTTTCAATTTTGGTGCGATAAAAAAACTACCACACTTTTGAAAATGTAGATCCAACAATCTTGGCAGACATTGTGGTGCCAGGACAAAACTAATGTGCTTCCAAAGCACAGGCTGATGGTACAAAAATAACTATTTACCTTTTCCTGTTGCTAGGCATACCTACCTGCACAGAAAGGATTCTGGAGATTGAAATTGAGGGCAAACTCATGGGAGACCTGATATTCTGGAGGAATTTTCGCACCAAATCCTAAAGCTGGAAACATTTTATCACTGAAAAAAACAAACAAATAAACAAAAATAATAATTATAATGAAAGTACATAGCAATGTAAATTACATTCATGCTAAACACTTTTAAACAAATAAAACTTGTACAATTTCTTTAATTAGCACATTAAACATTCACTAAATTAATTGAACGAATTAATATTCCCAAGTGAATTAAGAAGGTAAGGAAATTCTTTAATGACTTACAGCTTTTAAATTTCCCCTATTTACATTTTTTCTGAATGTGGATTGTTTTACCATATGATATTTTTAAAAAAAACCACCGACTGCACCAACCTATCATAGTCTTGTACCACTGCCCCTACGGTAGAAATAGCCTGCATGTACTCATTAGGCTGGTATGGGTTAATATAGTGAAGAGAGGACGCATTCTTAGGGTCTCCGTTTGATGCAGTGAAATCAACCCCAACCTGACAAAGAAATCATCATATAAATATACCATTGTACCAATAGTCTGTTCTTTCTTGCTTCATTTACTGATTAATTTACTGGTATATTAGATTAAGCAGAAAAAGCAGCGAGACAATAAGGCAAATTTATAATGAAATTTTAAGCAACAAGACCAAGGTGAATTTCTATAAATCAAACTTAAAATTTTAATTTCTTGGGAATTACCTTGTGCTGTGATTCAGGGAAATTCAACAAAATCTTTCCTGATATTGTCTCCAGAACAAAGATATTAACTACACATTCTTTCCATACACTTGATATTAACTATACTATTAATACCGTAAAATTGATCTGCATCCCTCCAAACACATAATCCAGAAAGGAGTATTCTTTGGTTATCTGAAATTTTATGACAGAAAAATAATAAGCAATATATTAAACTTTACATCATGCACAACCTATAATAACATAAATGGAAAAGACTTTTTTCAAATTGTTAAATTCTAGCTGTGACTATACTACTTCATGTAATACCATTTTCAAACTATTTCTTTTGGAAATGTGTTATCATGTATCACTTACTCTTTGCTCTGTCATTTTCAATTTATATCCTATTAACTCATTTCAACTGCCCATTTTGGGTTTGTTATGGAATGTTATAAGAACTGTTTGATGTATTTCTCTTACTTGCAGGTCCATCTTTAATTCCAGTTTTTGTTATCATATATTTTAGATCCTACATTTCATAATACCTTAGCTTCTGTGAGATAGATAAGCCCGGAGTTATGGTAGTTCTTCTTCTTAGCTTGTTTCTTTGGATTGATTGCTGGCCACTCAACCTATAATAATAATAATAATAATAATAATAATAATAATAATAATAATAAGTATAAGCATATGTATATCAATTTGATTTAAATGATTATCTACAGATAATTATACATAAACAGAGAAAAGATTTGTTCAGTGTTCAGGTCTAAGAACCCTGAGTTTCAGTACACTGACGGTGATTAAAATCCAGGTTGCTGATGGTAGTATGAAGTGCCTGTATTGCACCAGTTTGTCCTTACACAACGATAAAAATTGTACACAACGTTCCCTCTTCATATGCACACAAACAAATAAATGGAGGTATGGATTAACTTTGATGGATGGATGGATATAACACAGATGGCTGATCTAGAATATTGTTGTTGTGATGGTGGTAGTACAGGCCCGTAGCCAGCAATTTCAAAAGGGGGGGTTCTTTTTCTGAAAAAGTGGACCTTTTTCCATAAAAACTTCATGTACCTAGATCAAATATTACCCAGAGTGGACCTTTTCCCAGCAAAAGGGGTGGTTCTTTCAAACCCCCCCAACCCCCCCTGGCTATGGGCCTGTAGCAGGAAGGACAAGGATATAAAAATTTACCCAATGCTTTGCTCAACAAAAATAAAACAAGGCAGCAAAGCTGTCAAATGTACAGACAAAAAACAGAAAATAAAGATGCAAAATAGGTCATTTTGTTCATTTTTATGCAATAATAAATAATGCTTATAATAACACTGTCAGNGCAGAAAGACAATAAGGCAAATTTATAATGAAATTTTAAGCAACAAGACCAAGGTGAATTTCTGTAAATCAAACTTAAAATTTTAATTTCTTGGGAATTACCTTGTGCTGTGATTCAGGGAAATTCAACAAAATCTTTCTTGATATTGTCTCCAGAACAAAGATATTAACTACACATTCTTTCCATACACTTGATATTAACTATACTATTAATACCGTAAAATTGATCTGCATCCCTCCAAACACATAATCCAGAAAGGAGTATTCTTTGGTTATCTGAAATTATATGACAGAAAAATTAATGATAACATAAATGGAAAAGACTTACACACTTTTAAATTCTAAGTGTGGCTATACTACCTCATGGAATACCATTTATTTTCAAACTATTTCTTTTGGAAGTGTGCTTAACATGTAGTACTTACTCTTTGCTCTGTCATTTTCAATTTATATCATATTAACTCATTTCAACTGCCCATTTTGGGTTTGTTATGGAATGTTATCAGAACTGTTTGATGTATTACTCTTAGTAGCTTGCAGGTCCATCTTTAATTCTAGTTTCACTTATCCTATATTTTAGATCCTACATTTCATAATACCTTCGCTTCTGTGAGATAGATAAGCCCAGAGTTGTGGTAGTTTTTCTTCTTAGCTTGTTTCTTTGGATTGATTGCTGGCCACTCAACCTATAATAATAATAATAATAATAATAATAATAATAATAATAATAATAATAATAAATATATCAATTTGATTTAAATGATTATGCACAAATAATTATACATAAACAGAGAAAAGATTTGTTCAATGTGCAGTTCAGGCCTAAGAACCCTGGTCCCAGTTTCACAAAAAAAACTTAAGTCAGGTTCCCTGGCTAAGAACTTAATTACCCAGGTTACATGGTCACATGGGCAAGTCTTACCCTATCAGGAGCAGTGTAATAGCTCTCTCATGGAAATCATAGTCAACTGAGTCAGGTAACTGACTTCAGTTTTTTTTTTTGTAAAACTGGGGCCTGAGTTTCAATACACTGACAGTGATTAACCTGAACAAATAGGTTGCTGATGGAAGTGTGAAGTGTTTGTATCACACCAGTTTGTCCTTACACAACAATGAAAATTGTACACAACGTTCCCTCTTCATTTGCACACATACAAATAAATGGAGGTATGGATTAACTTTGATGGATGGATATAACACAGACGGCTGTTCTAGAATATTGTTGTTATGATAGTGGTGGTAGTGGGAGGCACAAGGATATAAAAAATTTACCCAATGCTTTGTTCAACAAATATAAAGCAGTTTATGAGGACAATTTCACTGTTATGTATAGTCCAAATGGATGGGGAATAAGTGTTAAGTCGCTCTCTTTTTTTTTCTTTTTTTTTTTTTTTTTTTTTTTTTGGGGGGGGGGGGGGGGGAGGAATAGGACTAAGCCTGTGGTAGGGATGGGGCACTGTGCCTGGTGTGCCCCCTGGTATTTAACTAATGGATATGGCCATAGTAATCTACAACAAAATTATCAATTCTTCAAATTAAAAACAAGAAAACCCTGTATGCTTTGAGTATGTGATAATTCAATCAGTGATTAAAAGACTACCCATTGATTCCCAAGCTAAGTTAGGTGACAGGTAAACAATCCCATCAATACCCTCTTAAAACTAAACAAAAGTTGTTTACATAGTTGCCATGGTTACAAATGCAAACAGGGATATCGCTGCTAAGGCCATAGTCAAAGTCAATAAGCATGTCTGAATATACAAAAGACTAAATATGTAGCTTTTCTACAAAGACATTTTACAAATATGATGGCAATCAAACCAAACATATCAAATAGACATAAGACTACAGCATAGAGGGTAACGCCCATAGTGCATTATTTTTTTATGACTGTTTACAATGAACATGGAGTTACGGCCAAGAATACTGCCTAACAACCAGTCACAACATCTACGCATGCACCTGTACTAGCCATATTAGTGGCACCAGGTGCAAATCATTCAGATATTTTTTTTATCAATATTCTTATCATTCTAGCCAAACATTCAATAGACAATTCAATTCTAGACTGTAAAAAAAATTGTAGATCAAGTACGCTTCACTGTCTCTAAGCAAAGCATGACATCTTTAATGCATGCTCTATATGCATGGACACCTAATAAATTATTATCTTGCATGGTAACTACAACTATGCTGGGTGTTTATCAGCAGGAGAGTTGTTAGAAGTCCAGGCTTTCTTAGTGACATCTGTCAACCAAATAATTTTAAGTGTGTGTCACAGTGCTGTGTCGATTTAAAGGTAGGCTAACAGGTAAATTATATCCATATTTTTAATTACCTAGGACACAATTAAGTGTTTAATGTGTTGTGTTAATATGAAATAAACACACACACAGGCTTTACATATTAAGGGTATGTAACTGCAGGTATACTATCTTAACTATGATCCTATCATAAAAGTACATAGTAAAGATACATTATCCTTTATAAGATAAAATATTGCTAAGAAAATTATACTCCTATTATATTATTAATTTGATTGCTCCCCCAAATTTCTTACATATATACAATGTTAATAAACATACTGTATTCATGTCAGTATTTATTCAAAGGGAAAATAGGGATAATTTGTTTCTAAATAAAATCATTATCAAACAGGCTGGTTATAACATTAAAATATATTAAAATATGCCTCATAATCAAAAATATCCTTCATAAAAATACCATTCACTGTTTTTTTCGGATATATGAACAACAGCATGCACTAACTGCACTGGTTTAAATACAGGACAACCTTTTCTATGCAGACCCTTTCACTTTTGTGTTCTTCAAACAATACCTAATGCACAAAAAGCTATGACGGTTCAAAGACTGAAAGCTATAGATACTACAAACTCAATCTGAGGACTCAAAGGTAAAAAACAATGAATATGTATGTGTTAAAAAGCTCCGCCCCTTGACCTAAATGCCAGTGTAAACTACGAGCCACAACTGGGTCAAATTGATTCAGTTTAAGTTCACGCCCTGTAGTAACTGAAAGCTGGCAACAAGCAACACAGCAACTGTGGCACTGAAGAAGCAACGCCAGGTAAGATACTGATGCTGAATCACAGTTATTAATTTGTATCAAAATTGAAATTTAGTGTTATGAGGTGAATAGAACCTGACATATTGTAAGCGGCTTTTTACTATGAGGCATTCAGAAATTAAGGCACTTGTTTCTATATGAAGATGTGTGCGTGTGGGTGGGATTGTGATTGTGAATGCACATACTTGCATATGCCAGTGAAAATGCATGTGAGTGTGGGTGTGTGCAGGAGTGTGAATACATAGTCCAATGTGGATGCATATTTATGCATGTGTGTGTGTGAATGTGTGTGTGTGTGTGTGTGTGAGAGAGAGAGAGAGAGAGAGAGAGAGAGAGAGAGAATTTAACATATCTTTTATAAGAAAGAAAATATATCTATATAGCTCCTCTTAAAATTGCCTGGTCACATCAGTTAGTCCTTTTGCTGTTATAACATTGAAAAAAAAAAACACTTGTTATTTTGTTATTCTACTTGGTATATAATCAATCACTTCTAAATGCCAAGTTTTAAACAAGTGCACAGTGATAAACAAGAATTGTTAATATTAATTTTCCTTTTCCTGAACTAGTAAGCATGATTTTCAAAACAGTTAGGACAGAGGAAATTACATATAAGGATTAACATTTCCTTAAGTTTTGTGCATTAATTCCTATTCCCCCCACAATTCTTCCTACAATTTAAGATATAGCAAGTATCTATTAGTGCAGTTTTGGGAGTTCTTGGATCAAACTTTATATGATAAGGACCAACACTGAATCGAGTGTATAAATAAAATTCCCTTTGGCTTCAGTTAGAAGTTCAAAATTACCTTCACATTTAAATTATGGTGGAAAACCTATATGGTGTTACAAACCACATGCAGAATTATTTAAAAGAGAGAGAGAGAGAGAGAGAGTAACCATGCTCTCTTATCTAAAAAACACAATTTTCAGAAAAAAATAGTCAGATATATGTTAGTTCAAACTGGTATTATCATTCAGTGTATCTTTGCACTTGCCACACACCCAGGCTATAGTCATAAAAGTCATATCCTCAAGTCATTTAACAGTGACAGAGTTCATACTATTTATTCTGCTTATCATCTGTAGGCGTTTAATACCAAACATACCAACCATGTGCATGTGGCATTAAAGTTAATTAATGGATATAAAACCCGGGGTCAAGGCCAAGGTCGAGGTCAGGTCTCTGATGAAACTGTGCTTATCAAATATAAATAAAATCAGTTTAGGAACCTGCATAAATGTATAAAACAAATAATTCACTAAATATGATCATAATTTATAAAGTCTGATATTATGAAAGTATAAACAGGTATGCCACCATTTTCCCCAATTCATCCACTAAAAATTATTTAAAAAATTAAAAATTTTTGTTTTTAATTTATATAGTAAACTACTTTTAAATAAATAAAATGGCTGGCAGAAATTGTATTTCAACATTTCAAATATTTTTCTGCATATACTTCTCCATAAATCTCAACTCATGCATATATTCTACATGACAGAAAGCTACAGAAGAGCAAAAATGTTTTTAAAAATTCAAAATACGCATCCATAAAAATACCTTCAGGCATGCTATGTGAGCATTTGTGGCTGTGAAATTTTACCAGCATAAGTACAGAGATCTAAATCCTCCAGTTTATCAGATCTTCATTATGTTTATCTTTAGAAATGTTCATACCAATAATGCAAATGCCATCTCAAATGTAGAATATTTTTTTCGGCTTAAATTAAAAAAAAAAAATTGAATTTGTAACAGATTCTGTTATCATTTGACTACATTCTTTAAGTAACATGTATTTAATTAACTAGTACTAGTAAATGCATTCCACTCAGCCTTATCAAGAGACTACACATTATGTTTTTAAAGCTGCCTTTGCTTCCATATTTTCAGTTTGGTCTACATGTATATGCATATGGTGATCAGTTGTTTTTGATATTCACCACAATACCAAACCACTTCATCATGTTGTGCTACAGTATACTTTTATCATCGATCAGTTATAGAGTACCAGGAAGATGAGAAAAAAATATCCACATAATCTGCAGGTTCTGTATCTTAGCTTTCAACAGTACCAGTATATTATGGAGTAGTCCATTTGAGAAGCAACAAGGAGAGAATAGATAATATGCTGTTGACAGTTATAGAGTCACTATATGGCTGACTAGAGTAATGGGGGATAAGAAATAAATGGTCATAATCTGTATGTTCTGATAGCTCACAACAGTATGTATATTAGGAAGTAGGCCCATCATGCAGAGACTGCAGGAGAGAAGAGATAGAATAGTGTAAGGGCGTATTCCCAGAGTTTTTAGATCGATCTATCCCCGCGGGGAGTCTCACTAGATTACTGTCAGATAATCCGGCTTGAATGTCCGTCCCGCCTACAACAAGCTGTAAGGGGGTAATTAACTATCATGCCTGGTCGGCTGACAGTTATCCAGCGTGAACCCCCAGGGAGTTAGGTCGATCTAATGTAGATCGATCTAATCTCTGGGAATGGGGTCTAAGGCACATCAGTTGTGTTTATATCTGTGCAAGGTCTCGAGGGACTTCAGAACTAGTTACTTAACACAGCAAGTTCAAGGCATACAAAAATTTCAAAAGAAATCAGCTGCGGTGTGTTTGCTGAATCAATAACCTTTTCATTGTATCTAAGTTCATTTCAGGGCATAGACACGCAGATTTCAAAGGCCTTTATTTACAAGTAACAAAATGCGGTGTACTGTTGTTATGAGTTCCCATTCATATTTATAAACTAACATTCAATATCTGATTGCATGGTCAAACCTTATCTACTAAAGAATTTCAACCAAATAAAAAACCAAAGGTTAACTGTACTAATGAAATTATTTAGCAGACATGATCCTAGGTTTTACAAAAAACCTCTGAACATTTATCATGGGACCCAACACCTAACCTTGACAAATCGCAGGAACCATCAGAATTGAATTAAAAAAAGAGGAAATCTACTTTTCAGCAGAAAAAGCTCATGTCTGATTAAGTTATATTTGCAAAAAAGGTCATACTGCACATGAAATCACAACATGTACCCCAGTAGCTACATAACCCTTAGTTCCACGATTATTAATATATATTGAAAAAATAGCTAGCATAGCATCGATTTCAACACAAATAATATAACAGGAAAGCCCTCCTTGATTCTGATCAGTTTGTCATATAAATTTCAACTGTATGATATTTATACCAGCATTCCTTCTAACTTCTTGAAAACTCCTCAAAATCTGGCTATGTTTAGAGATGTACCAGGCTTGGTTCAACAAAAGAACTTCAAACTAAAAGTGAAGCTTCATGTAAATCAGATGTGAGAAAAAATCAGGAACAAAACCTAAAGTTGTACACAAAAAAATAAAGAAAGATCAATTGGTCTAAAACAATGACAATTACTTTGATCTCATAAAAAGCTGCAATATTTAATTGAAGTGAACTACTTCTGATTAACCTTGGGTCAAAGCCCACTAAATACTTAGTCTAAAAGTTAAGACCAACTATCAAGTCTAAAATATCTCTGAGCCAACTGGCCCCAGGTAATGGCCACCCACCTGCTGTGATCTCTGTGGTCCAATCACCTGTCCAGCTGTGGCTAGCCTGGGGATAGCACAGCCCGGAAGGAAACTAACTTCACAAAAGGAAAAGAAGCTATATAATAACTCCCAGGGCAATGCCCTATCCATACCAATCCTGTGTTTCAGAGATGACTGAAAAACATGTGCTCCAATGCTGCCATTCTAAAAACCCTTACTTATTGAAACAATAGGGTCTGCTTGCAATTTTTACAGAAAAAAATTGAAGTATCTCTTTAGGACTAGTCCATCCGCATTAATTTCATTAAAAGGCCCATGTTCTTGTAAAATCCATCTGCAACACTTAATTACTGATGAAAAGGAGTTAAAATTCTCCAATCATCCTTAACCTTTTCATTTTTAATTAATTAACCATTTTTCTTAAACACATTTAATAATTCCAATTCTCTATTTGTGTGCTTTGCTGAATATAAATAACACGTACCAGTCTAAAAATACATGAAGGCTACATATAAATTATCAATAGCTTCACAGCTAAACCCGCACACATATGAATTAACTGCTCCAGTTGAGACCTTTACAGTTGCCTTTGATGTTTTCTGCCTTGTTTAGTTTTTAAACTAAATATTACATTATGTTTCCAGCAAAGAATTCCCTTGGCTAAGTTAAGCACTAAAAGGGATCACAACAGTTTCTAACAAGACACCTTCTTCAGAGAATATGCCCCCCCCCCCGTTCCCCCTTCTCTCCCCCCCCCTGCCCCCCCCCCCCCCCAAGCATTTGGCAAAACTCTGTCCTTTTCAGATAACTTTCTCGTGGACTGGATAGATGCTAATCCAAGCCATCAAATTATAAGTGAGCTCTGCGCCTTTACTTATGTTCATATACAATAATAATGATCACAGTGCAAGCATTCAATTTTCTAAATGTATAAGGTATGAGGCTAGTCTCACAAGAATAATTTAAGACCAAAAGTTGGTCTTAACTTTTAGTACAAAGTTTTAGTTTGCTTTACAGCAAGATAAATAAGCAGTTATTTATAATAAGTGTTATGTAATCAAATGTTTCACCTTTTTATGAGAAGAAATTATCAGAAGTTTTAGCTTATTTCACTTATAACTGTAACAGCTTATTTCACTCCTGCATTGAAGTAGGCCTAAGTTTTCAGTCTCAAGTCTTATATGAACCCCTCCCCTGAGTGATACCACATTTAATTAGTTCAGAATCAAGAATTAGGAATAATAAGAAGCTCCTGCCACTAATGTAAAATTCTATATACAAGACTGAATGTAAATATACACAGTGCTGAGAAAGTATGTAGTTACTAGTATGTACGCATGCTAAGTATATTTACATAGTGCACACTATTCTAGATAGATTTAGACGGAATATAAATTATATTCAATAGATTAGGAAATTATCTAAGGATTTCTCGATATAAAACAAAAGCTGCCAAGATAACCCCCTCGTTAATGCTGTTTAAAATATCATGATATAAACTTACTTTAGCTAACAGACTTAAATCAACTCCTTCCATATATTACTGGGAACCATTATCTTTGGAAATGGGTGCTAGATATGCTGTTGAGATGGAGAATACATGTATGAGTACTTATAAAAATGCATATATTAACATAAATGTTTGATGTTCCAATGCTTTGATGGCCAAAAAGCTTGGATTTCCTTGGCTACACTAAGAAAAAGAGATAAAAACTATATTTCTATGTACCAGTAACAGAAGATACTTATGTTAGAAATATGTGCACTAGTACATCAACATTTTTGTCGAACTAATATTTTGATGACCCAAAAGATAACATTAATCCTTCAGCTCGCTGTGCCTTGCTACCTACGTACACAAAAATACTAAAAGAAGTTTCCTGTGGCAGAAGCAAAAGTTAATATTTATGCAGTCGTTATTCTCTTGTATTAGATGATTATATTTTATTCCTATAAAGACCTCTCTTCATCATCTCTCTCATCCAATATCTCTTTCTCTGATTACTTATTTAGAGACTGTTTTAAAACTAAAGACATCATATCATGTTCAAACTTTTTTCAAACAGCTACTTTCACACACACATGCAGAGAGAGAGAGAGAGAGAGAGAGAGAGAGAGAGAGAGAGAGAGAGAGAGAAATTCATTACAAACAAATATATACTCAAATTACCCAAGTATTCCCACCACCCTTAAGCCAAAGATGCCATTCTCATGTGTCAACTTGTCTTATAAAGTGTCACACATGTAGGTGGCTGGCTGTAAACCTGGTGCATTACTCCAGGGCATACAGCATACCACACCTACACACCACCATGTACTTGCTATATGTACAGTACTAGTTATATCTCTGAATGTATTTTCCCTATTTAAATCTCTGTGTGGATTCTAAAATAAAACACATTTCTGTTCAAAAAAGTCATTAAATGTGCAAATGTGCATTGAGAATAAAGACTTTACAATATTGAATAAAAAAAGACTATAATATTGTCAAAAAATTACAATGTGGTCCTGTATGAAGTATGACTTTAAAACCTAAGGTAAAATGCCTAATTAATATCATTTCAAGCAGTAGCTTGTGGAATAACATGTGAAAAAGAGAAAAGGGATCCTAGCTATATCAAAGTGTATATATATCATTGTTCTTCAGAATATACCTGGTTTTCATATTTCAGGATCTTAATTATTTAATTCAGAAACATAAACAACATGTAAAATTCCTGCTTGAATAACCACACTGTACAATGTACAATGTATAAGTAATAACTTCAGATTTTCAAATGCCACTATCATTATTAGTCGCTTACTAAACTATACATTTACTTAATGCCAAGGAGTTAATTTACTTTTCAAATTTGAAATCAACCTTTTTCAGTTATTTTAAAATTAAACATTATTTTGGAGAATATGTTTGAGTTCTTTTCTTCACCGAGTACATATATCATTCATCAGATTGCTATTTAATGATAGTGCAAATGCTCATTTATATCCAGGGCCCAATTCAGCAATGACCTAAAACCTCAAGGCTAATAGTGTTATTGCTGTTATATTTAACCTTTTATCTTAGTGAGTTTACTACATGCATATTAAGTAGGTACTAGTATGCTTTCATGACTTTTGTAAAATGCAACATTTTTATTCAGTGTGGTGACAGGGCAAACACAATTTGTACCATTCAAATATTGACTGAAATCTATCTTCCACCAATATTTAATGTTATTTTTATGATGTACTCATATTAAAATCAAGTTTTTTTTCTAACGAAAAATCCATTTTTGTGGCAAAAATCAAATAAAGCATAATGTCTGTTTTTATTCATTTTCAGACAACACGAAAAGTTTAAAAGCCAAGTTGAAGGTCATCAAGGTCACTTCAGGTTAAAGTCACCAAGGTCATTCAAGGTCAATTAACTTAACATGGGTCAAGGAGAAGGAAGTGGAAGAGGCGACCTATGCCCTGGAATATTGTGGGCTATTCTATGGCTTCTAATTCTCTGGTTTGCGGCATGGCCAATTGCCTTTTTTATCGCCTGGCTGTACATTCTTCTTCTACCATTCCAAGCCTGCTGCGACTGCATTAAACCAATCAATGAGGCCCTCTTCAAGGTCGTGAGCTTGCCCTTGACCTGTGCAGAGAAAATGGTGGCCATGGAGCCCCTGTGTGGATAGGAGGCATGGTCACATGACACCATCACTCAAAAGACCTCATATTTCTTTTAAAAACACGCTTGCTTTCATCTACTCTGAAGTTCCAAATAATCTATATGTAAGGTGAAACTAATCACTTCTATGAAAAACTAAGGAAGAAAAATGACAAATTAGCATAAATACTGAGAAGCTTGATCTATCAGGTTGGAAAATGTCTTATTTCACCATACTACGTCCAATGTATATCTCTACTGACTATGAGCAGAATACTGCTGAAGAAATCTCTCAGGAAATAACACCAAATCGACATACACTGTATATATTACTGTTACTGCTATTAAAAAGAGAAGTACTTTCTTCCATGAAGAGGATAAATAAGCCAAATCCATGCATTTAGCAGGGTCATTCATAATTCTGCTGCAACTATATTTTCATATAAATAAATTGCTAGATTTTCATACACTGTACTTCATCTTGGATAACAGATTTGGAAAGCTATAAGATGAATAAGAAAACTGCTCAATTGTTACCAATTATGCGACATCACAGGATCTGCATTGGACTTAAAGAATCTCTAAGATGGCACTTTCTTTTGGGAGTGAATAGCTGACATGAACTTTACATAGAAATATTGGAGATAAATGTCAACTCATACATTTCGAATGATAATTCAGTGTATTTCAGTATAAAAGTAAGAAATGTAGTACTTTTAACTACTGTATAATAACCTGAAAGTAGGATTACATTCAGTTGAATGCTAAAGATCATTTGTTGGGTTGAAGATTTTTTTTACAAAAAAATGCTGATTTATCACCGTTTCGACTCCAAGTTTTCAGTTAAGGCAAAGCTGATCAGCTATTTTGCTTAAAAAGAGGTTTTGTAAAACTGAAAAAGATATGTCCTGTTTAAATGAAAAGTGCATAGTTTTATCTCTGTTTGCCTTTACAGCATTTTATTCTACAGATAATTGTTATACATCAACCACAGGGATCAAATGAGAGAATATTTTTGCATTTATAAATGTGCCTTTTTGTCCAAATGCTTTTTACTATTAAAATCCTTCATAAACTAGCATAACTTAGGGGGAAAATCAATTCTAGGACTATTTTGTATGTGGAACTTTTAATATTGAGCTTCGTTTGAAATATTTTTCACTTTTTTAGGGGCATTATAAAAATTTCTCACTAGTCAGCTTTTGCATGTAAAAATATAATTTTGTGTACGTTTAAAAAAACATTTTGAAAAACAGTATCTTAGTTCAAGATATCTAGCAAATGATTGAAACCTGAATTCATTAGGTATGTGCATCTATACACAATATTGTATCATGTGAAAATAAAAGTCTCTTCAAAAACATATATGTATTATGTATTTCTAAAATCTTATCCTTTCTTATTTAGTACAAATAAAAGCTCTGACTATGTTTGGGTAACATCTGTTTGCAATGAAGTGTCTGTATGAATCACCATATCCTATCTAATTTATTGCATGCAAATTCTTGTATGCATTATTACCGATATACCCAAAACAATACACGTACTGTATATTCTAGGATACGAGGATGTGTTTTATAGGGTATTAGTGAACTTGTCGGTGGTAGTACTGCATGTCAAGTTTTCCTCAGGATTTCACACAAACCAAAGGTTTTGATAATAGTACAAAAAAAAAAAAAAAACATTTATCGAAACTATATGTTGTAGACAACACTTACCTGACTAGTCTCAGCCTTCAGGAGTTCAGTCAAGGTCGTGGTAAATCCACCAATCAGATCATGGCTACCATCATCATCATGGTCATAACAGTCAATCTTGATGGAAGAAGGATTAATACACATTAACTACTATCAAATTCCAAAAATTGATAAAATGAACTACTAAAGGCAAATTAAGATTTTAATCAGAGTGCTTTTTAAATTTCCTGTAATCATTCAGTGTTTGCATGCATGAGGTAATACAGTCAACTTGCTCTCCAAGCCCAAGGTGATCTTATGGAAGCTGCTTAAAACAATTTGATTCAATTGACAAGTGAAGTTATAACAGTATCACAAAACATTTTACATTACATGACTGAGTGCCAAAGTATAACATCCCATAATGCTAATTCTATCCCATAATAATGAAGACAGGCCTCACCTTGATCTGCAATTTTGGTTGATTGAAACACAGGGTGTTCAGATTCAGTTTAAAAGGTTTCCACGTGGGATTCAGGGTGTTCTTTCTAACCTGAAAAAAATATGTCTAGTATAGAACATTACATTTTTAATTTTCTATTTTCTTAGAGCCAGCTTAACCCTACTATGTAAGAGTTAAAAATTCACTGCATGCTCATGCACAACAGGTGTATTTAAAAAACTGATACCTGTAAGGGGCTATATTATTTAACTCTGTACTAACAGCAGATAAAAGCCCAGTTGGATGTTTAATTTAATGGAATTTAAAGGAGAAAAATTATTTTAGATATGCAATGTTAATGATGGCATTATTATTTTAATATTATTCTGATAATTTATAAATATCATACAGTATAGAAGACATGGGCATGCACACTAAGGCTAAGCAATTTGTGACTGATCTCTGTCCTATAAACTATGAAAAACTGACCTTAACCCTCATTAAAATAAATAAATGGCCTCAGTATTAAGACCTCTAAAAGCTGACCTATGTCCAGTTAAATTTTAAATGACTGACCTCTGTTCTGTGGACAGGCTGCCACTGGTTATCCCGACCAAGACGACTGATCTCCAAAAAAGGATCTGACTTGCCCAAGAAGTCCTGAATAATACAAATTTTTTAAAGCATATTTTAAGATATTTTGTACTTCTTATCAAAGCAAGACATAAAGAATGGTTTAAAATATCTGTTACAAACTCAATGAAATAATATCAATATTGTGGCACAAACAAATGTTGCTAATTGCCAGATATATTATTTTCAAATTTAACTAAGTAAATTACTGGACTAAAAAGGGTAATAAATTTTGGCATCAACAGTTCAAAATTTGTGAGGAGTAAATGACACAATACAGTTTGGAAGAATATCAAGTCAGAAACCATCTAAAAAATTTGTCCCTACATCAAACGTGATGTAGGCTTGTCACATAGGATGACGATGTAATACTGATAACTCACAAGAAGTATCTAATAATCATTGTTTACCAAGTATACAACATTTAAATAATCAAGAACATACCTTTTTATCAAGTTTTTCAGCCTTGAAAGATAAATTGATCATTTCATTATTGCTCTGAATTTCCTCGGCTCTGATCTGAAAAATAACAGAAACAATTTTTCTGTCAATTAAACCATGGTTTGAGCAGAAAACAATAGGCTGTGACCCATGTTATTTTCGAACTGTGTCAAGACGGCTGACTACCCTGATTGGACAAGAGCCAATGAATATCATTATTTATTTATTTATTTTTGCAATATTGATCAAGGAGATTTATCTGTAAATATTTGTTTTAAAAGTTTTAATTGTCCTAAGATAAGTTCAACAAGAAACAATTCATGCACTTAGAATGCATTCAAAATCCTGGCCTGGATTGCTTAAAAAGATTTTATTGCCAGATAAACTTACAATAATTTGACTTTTAATTGGTATTTTTTCCCACAGAGACAAAGGTTTGGTCATTGGATTCCCAGAAACAACCTGATAATACACGAACACGCAAAACCATCAATTATATTATATTATATTATTAAATCAATTATATGCAAGTCTCTTTACAATATATATTTAAATGGAAGTAATCAAATATTATGCTATGTATGCAGTAATCATAATGTTATGTGTACAAAAAATGGACCAAACAACGGAGACAAACAACATAATAACTAGCATACAATTTATCATTCTTTACATCTTGAGAGATTAAATAGTGAAACTGAATAAGAACTTTAGAAAGAAAGACAACACATTTTTCAATTGGATGCACGTACATGCACCTATATGCAAAAGAGAGAGAGAGAGAGAGAGAGAGAGAGAGAGAAAAATTTACCTCTCCCAGAGTAGTTTCTAGCTGTCCAAGAAAATCATCATCATTCAAGGTAGATGTTTCGTTATCTACATCATATATCATGAACTTCAATTTCTGTACTTCTTCAAAAAAGTAATCAACTTGAAAGGTTTTTGTAAATTTTGGATTCTGATCATTCTTTATCTTTTCTGTTCTTCCAACCTGAAATAACAAATTGAAAATAAAGTTTACTTTTGAAAGAAAAAAAAAATCAGTATATTTTCCTTTTACATACACTGATTGGAATTTCTTGTTTAAATGTCTACAAAATTTCAAACAACTTAAAAAGGCAATTATATTGCTAACATGCCACAAAACATATTTCAAATAATTTTCGCCTTATTCAGGTTTATATAAAATACATATCTATATAAAATCCAATATCAGTAAATATGATATAAACTTCCCTCATGCCATTACATACCTCAAACCATTTTCCTTGTTGTTGCATATACAGAGCACATAAAGGATCAGACTTTGAGGTGACATCCGCCTTTCTCAAGTCTCTGCATTCCACACGTATTTCCACTTTGGTGACACACAGTGCTGAGGGTGGCTGGGCCATCGTGTGGTGCTCTGTGGAATCAAAGGCTTATAATAATAATAATAATAATAATAATAATAATAATAATAATAATAATAATAATAATAATAACTAGAGGATCAGGGAGGCGATACTGCCTTCAGGTATTGTACCACCAGCTGATGTAAGCGCATTCATATGGAAAACAAACAAACAAACAAACAAACAAAAAAAAAAAAAAAAACAAGGGATACCACCTCCAGTGTTGTGCTTGACAAGGCTCTACGAAATGCAGTTAACAACAGTTCTCTATTTTTTGTTGAAAATTACAATTTATAACAAAATCATGAGAAAAGTAAAAGGTCAAATCCAAATTTGTGAAGTGCGGTTAAAGGTCAAATTCAAGGTCACAAGAAGACTGGCAATTTATGAGTTCCTATTCAGCAATATCTGTGGGCACATCTGTGCCAGTTTTGGAGATACAAGTGAAATAAAAGAAATAAGAGATAAAAGTTGCAAAGTTCAGTTCATGGTAAATAGTAGATTCATAGTACTTGACTTTCTATTCAAGTTCAACAGTAACTCTGGGCTCTGGGCGTATCTCTGCCACTTTTTGGAGATATAAGGGTCGGAAAAAGTTGTTAAGTTCAGTTCATGGTGTAAAGTAGGTCAAAGGTCAATTTCAAGGTCACAGTTAGATTGCAAGTATATGACTTCCTATTCAAGTTCAATAGTAACTATGGGCTTATCTCTGCCAGTTTTGGAGATATTAGGGACAGAAAAGTTCCCCAATTCAGTTCATGGTGAAAAGTAGGCCAAAGGTCAATTTCAAGATCACAGTTAGATTGCCTGTATATGACTTCCTGGTCAAGTTCAATAGTAACTATGGGCATATCCCTGCCACGGTAAGATAACATTTTATCTTTATGCAGTTGGGGCAGAGAATGCTTGTAGAAATAATAGGTGCAAGATATGAAAACATGTCACGGAACTTAAAGGTGCAAAATTGTGCTTAATTTGCAGTCATGTTTTGAAATATATGCTACATCGACTGCCAGCGTAACAAAGAGAATTAAGGGAAAAGAATTCCCTGGAGGCTATTAATTGTTGTCAAGTGGAATTTTTGTATGTATGCAATCTGTTACGCCCACATCTATTTTTGGGTGTTTTATATGGTATGTACTGCAATTACAACAATGTTTTAGAGCCTTTGAAGGACCTTCATATAATGCACTTATTATTTCTACAAGTATTCTCTGCCCCAAATGCATAAAGATAAAATGTCATCTACACAGGTGGTACAATAATAATAATAATATTAATAATAATAATAATAATAATTATTAATTATTATTATTATTATTATTATTATTATTATTATAAAGAACACAACTATTTTAAAACTTCAAACTCTGACTTCCTGGATTGGACAGAATGCAATAAAGTGGCTTCACAGGGGACCTTTTATATGGATACAGTATACCATTAATTTTTTATCTCTAAGTACCTTACATTAGCGTTATTTAAATTTTCTTTCAACTTTTACACTACATTTACCTAGTGAAACATTTTTCATGGCAATATTTGAAATAAAATTAATCAATGAAATCGCACTTAATTTAAAACCATAAAGTTTTTTTTTTTTGCGTGGTATTGTCAAATTTAAAAAACCCTATTATTACTATGATTATGCAGTTCCAACAATAAATGTGTCAGAATTCACGTTGCGGGGTTAAATATAAAATCCTGGATTCTAAAGACATCACTGTTTACTTTCACTGAAGTCCTGAAGAAAGTTCCGGTTGCGGTTTTGACTCTTGTGCAAAGTAACTTTCCGAGGGATGAAGCGTTGACACAAAAACGTTTAAGGACAAATAAATACTAACCGCATAAAGCTGCTCGTTATCCTTATTGCTAAGGTTGGTGCGATTATCGTTGCTTATTTCCGCCCTAAAATATAAACTTCTTCTGTTGATGGTTCCCCAAAATATAATCTAGCCTCCTATATTGAAGAATTTCTCCAAGACGGGCTATAATATTTGTGTGAGAATCAGTTGCCCCTAAAATTTTTTGTAGACCTTAGGCCAGAATAAGGCTCTGTTTAATTTAGATTTATTTTATATCAAAAAGACATGGTAATTGAACTTTATACATGTATATAATTTAAAAATTTTTTAATGTTGTAAGCGAGCGGAAGTAACCTCAAAACAGCGACGACTCGGGTGACGGGTGTGAAATGCGTCAAAATTTAGGCAGGATTTAATGAATTCCAATCATAATTCAGAAAAGAAAACAACAGACACAAAGTCGAATCATGAAAACTATCGAAGTAAAGGTAAGATGTATATTTCTTGACCTCAACAATCACCCATATTGTCCTTCTATCTACGATTGACAGCCGGCTAAATAATTTATGCCAATAATTGCCAGTCCTCATTTTTTTTCTTTTGTAAACAAAATGATATTCTAGCGGAAAATGACTACTTTTGTAAAGCACCTGTATGCCAGTTCTATTTTTGAAACAGCAGAGACAGCATACTGCTCTCTTACCCTCTCTCTAAAACACACAGACACTCGCTATTAGTAATCGGAGATCATTTTCATTTTAGATGATCTCACAAAGAAACAGAAGGTAGCAGCAATCAAAAAGACCTTAAAGTCAGACCCTGTAGATGTAGATCGCCTGCGTCAGCTAGCCATCAGTCGTGGAGGACTGATAAATGACGAGCTACGAAGACAGTGTTGGCCTAAGCTGCTAAATGTCAACATATATGGCATATCAAAGAAACCAGGTAAGGGCTGTCTGAATAATCAGTAGCAAGAATTCCTTTTGCACTTTTTTCATTTTTTGTTATTATAATTGTTATTATTTATTATTAAAATTATTTTTGATGCATTAACTATTGTGCAGGAGTCTGAAAAATATAAGTTGAAATAAAGGTAAACAGCAAAAAAAAAAAAAAATAATAATAATAATAAATAAATAAATAAATAAAAAGAAAAGAAGGAAAGAAAAGAAAAAAGGAAGGAAAAGCTGTTTCTGCAAGATGTGGCTGCATATATGTATGTAAACAAATAGCTTATAAATCAACATTCTATTTCTAAGTCAGGCGTAGGCAGAGGGTGGGTGGAGAAAGGGAAGCTAGTGTTAGAAAAAAATGCCCTTTTGTCCGGAAAAGGTCCACTTTGAATCAAAAGTTGGTCAACTTTTGTGTCAAGTTGGTCTACAAAGGAGGTAAAAGGGTTAACTTTTTGAAGTTGGAGAATCCCCTATGAAATTGTTTCAACGTCAGTATAAACATGTAGTAGAAAACCAATACAAAAAAGGTTTCCATTAACTACAAGGTTGCTTGAATAATGAGTCTACAAAAAACAAGTAGATACTGGGTATATGAATACAGAATATATTCTGATAGAAGTAAAAGTTGAAGATACATTGTGTAGAGTCATTGTTATTGTTTGAACTTTTCAATTCTTAAACTATTTTGAAAACAATAAATTATAATTTTACCAGTGCGAGCTTTAAAAGAGATTTTTGAAGAAGAAATTTATGTTGGACAAAAGCTCTAATGGGTAGATAGGTTTAAGATTATGTGTAGGAATTGAAAAGTTAAAGGATTCTAGTCACGAAAAAATCAATTTCTCGAATTTTGAAGATTCAGCAATCAATCACCACCTTTAAAAATGTATAAAAAACAATCTGTTAGTAGAAGAAAAGTGTTTTAGTAAACCTCACCTCAATTTGCAAAAATGAAGCAACAGATTTGGGTCATGTGATATTGTGACGACAAAGACAATAAAAGTCTTTGAGACTCAGCTGAGCTGCATGCTGAATACAGACAGAGAAGTTTAGGAAAGTTGTGTTGAATGGAGTTGGGCAATTTTCTTTGTTGCTGTGGGATTCACCAAAAAAGCAACACTGGTTTACAATCTTCTTTCTTTGTCTGTGACGGGCTTCCGTGACTTATTTACTAACTGCGGTGACAATAGATATGATGCTTGAGATTATGGTCAACTCAAGTGGTTTAGATCATATCAAAAGCTGATAGTCTTTCAAATTAACTGTCATCAGTTGTATATTATGTATATTAGTATATTATGAAACTGGGAGATACCCACTTCTTTAAGTTTTAAATCTATGGTTTTTAGTATTGATTTAAATCTGCTACTTGAAAAATTGTATTATAACAGCGTGCTATAAATAATAATAATAATAATCTTTATTGAGCACTAAAAGGCATACATATTACATTTTACAGGCTCTCTACACTAGTCATAACAACTTAAGACATCTTCATAACATAAAGATCTACTTAACAAAAAATTTTGATTGGGTAATATGAGTACAGAATGAACTGGAGACACTTGGCTTGTCATTAATTTTTCAAAAAAATATGTCAGATAATTTGATACTGTCCTTGACAGAGTAAAGAATGAAAGATAATTTTAGACAAACATTGACAGGAGAAATATCCACAAGGAGTAAAGGGCTATTGTACCAACATCTTGATTTCATTTCAGAAAATCTCAAGGAGCACAGAGACTATAATCAAGTGGTTCTTGATGTTGCCCGTTCCTTGAAAAGATTCCCTCCAGGTAATTGTGCTAGTGAAGCTCTGATTCTCATCAGTCCCACCCAAAACAATAAGCATTATGTGCTGCATTGGTATTTAATTTAACCTCTCACAAAGCACATTCAACTTTTCTAGAGCTCCAAAGTTTTATTCATTTCAAATTGAATAAAATTAAGTTAATTTTAGTAGGCCTATTTTTCCATACCCATCATGCTTAGATCGGAGAGCAATAAGATAAGATCATTCCGCACCCATTTGTATTCAAAATGTCATAGAAACATAGTAGTGTTCATATATCCTCTTTTTTTTTCATGAATGTCATAAATTAATGTATTCTAGGCATGAGAGACGAGCAAAGACTGGTGCTGCAGGACCAATTGATTGATGTAATTATGAGAGTTCTAGTCAAAAACCCAGAACTACATTACTACCAGGTTTGATTTTTTTCTTTGTTTATTTATCTATCAAGTCTACTTTTGAAAAGTTAATTTACATGTAGTAGAAAATCAATAATCATTGTGAAGGAAATAAAGGGATCTGTGTAGATTCTCTGAGGTCACTTATTTGCCCTGCTCTAGTGGTTAAAATATGTGTGTTTCTATATTTTTGGTATATTTTTTCAGGGTTACCATGACATCTGTGTCACATTCCTCCTTATTGTCAGTGAAGACATTGCATTTGCTTTGGTTGATCAGTTGTCCACAAACCACCTCAGGTAAGAATTTAAAAAATAAGTCATTTTTTAGAATGAAAGGTATGGGTGGTGAATACTTTTAAGGTACTAATAAGGTGCATTTACATTCAGCTTTTGATAGCTTAACTTAGTATTATACTTTTTAGTTCACAAGACACCAACCATAACTGTAAGAATTCTGTTTACAAATAAAGTAGTTCTGTGGGAGAGTAATGATATCGGTGGCAAATACTTATGAGGCACTCATGAGGTGAAGTCACAGTCAACTTGTAAGGGTTTCATTTAGGACAAGGGTGGGGCTGTTCTGCCTCTTTTTGGTGGATTAACTCCTTACTTTAACTCCCAGCACGTAGCCAGAGACAGGGCCAAGTGGAAAGAAGTGACTGTGGCCTTATGTCCCACGCGGGACGAAGAGCAATGATGAACTCCTTACTTTTGAATTAATGGGTTTAGACAATTGCTGGATTTTGAATGAAATGATCAGACGTGAATTTTCAAAGGTGGTTTTTCCTCTTTTTTAAGCCTTCTATTGTCCCTTTTATGACTTAGATTAATTTATTGTTATAATTTTGATTTTTTTCACTTCAGAGATTTCATGGAAAAAACAATGGAGAAAACTACTAAAATATTAAGTTATTTGTATCCAATCCTTGGAAAGGCCAACCCTGAACTCAGAGAATTCATGGAGTTGTAAGTATATGACTCTGCCTAAATTGAGAATATTTTATGTAGAATTGTTTTTCTTAATTGGGCAGTATTTGTAGCAATTGACTGCTCCACTTAGCAAGATGCCAGATAGGTTTTTGAATAGTCTACTTTTGAGAACAGAGCTTACTCTTCAGACTGATTCATAAGTGTAATATGCTTTTAAGTTAATAACTTTTTGTAGTAATTTATAAAATACTGTTGTATATTGATGAAATTTCTAAAATTCCGAAATAATTTTTATTAATTATTTTGACAAATTGTATGTTGAGTGCTTACAGCACAAAATTGAACACAAAGTCAAGTTGTATTTTTCATTATTTCAGGGCAGAAACGGGCACAATATTTTGTTTAAGCTGGTTGATCACATGGTTTGGTCATGTGCTCAGTGATTTCCGCCATGTTGTCCGGTTATATGACTTTTTCTTAGCGTGCCATCCCATGATGCCTATATATGTGGCAGCTGCTGTAAGTCGTAGAGATAAACTAGATTTTAAATAATGGAAAAAAATACTTTTTGATTACAATGATACATTTCATTCACATATTTATTATGTCCAAAACAGTAAAGACACTAAAAAAAACTGAAAGTGGAGTATGGTATTACTTAAAAGCAGAGGGACAAAAAAAAACTGCTTTAGTCTCTGGTTGAAGTAATGCATTCGACTACACTTTGACACACAGCACATATTTTATTAATGTAGCAGCTCTTCTGTTTGTGATAAATCCTTTTCCTAATAATTCATGATATTGCTTCAGAGAAATAAAATGTAAATTATTTCCGCTGTGACAAACGCTTGATATTTTTTTCTTCCAGATCGTACTATATCGTCAAGAGGAGGTGCTACAATGTGAATGCGACATGGCCATGATACACAGTTTATTATCAAAAATACCTGATGGACTTCCCTATGAACAGCTTATTAGTAAGGCTGGCGACCTTTACCTTCAGTATCCCCCTGAAAAACTGGAACAGGAGGCTAACTTGCAGCTTAAGAAAAGGTGTGGACATATGCTTCGTATTGGATATTGTTTTTCACCTAACATTTAAATGTCGCATTTAATAATAAAGACAAGAATTTTTTAATTTATTGTTATTCCAAGCTGTCTTCTCCAGCTTAATGTATAATTTTGATTAGGAAATTTCGATAATACTGAGATTTGCATAAGTCAGTTATTTAAAATCAGTTTCATGTATTATCTTCTATTGTTCACATATTTTGAAAAAAAAATTGATGTTGTTTTACGTATGTTAATATGTAATCACAGTTTGCATGTGTGTCTTAAGATTTAGCTGTGAATATTGTGTATTTTGTCACTAACTAAAGTGCATGTTTGTTTGATGCCTGATTGTTTTTTACAAGAAAAAAATATTTTGCTAATATTCTGTATTGTAAAAAACAAATGGTGTTTTATTTAGAACTTTTTTGTTATAATTTGTTTGAACTACTTAACAAATTGACTTCATCATACCTTGACTGTACTGTTAATGCATTGTACAGAAATAGTAGATTCCTTTTTGCTGCATTGTAACAAATTGTGGCTTTATTGGAACTGAAGAATTTTCAACCAATTTTCAACAGCTTTCATTATTAACTGCATTTATCAAATTTGTGTAATTCCTAAATATGTGAGCCTCAAAAAGTGAATTGCATTCAAGTCAGAAATTTTGATTTATTTTATTTTTAAAACTATTGAAAATCTTATTTATTACAGTATATTTGTCAGTAATGAAAAATTTGAATCTCAAAATAATTGTTTTAACAAGTGAGATGCTGGAAATTTGAGTTATATCACCTGATTAACTAACTCACTGTCTACCAACTTTTTCCTATGCTCCCCAGTCCCCATATATTATAATTGGTTTATGTATTGCTAGATTAGATATCTGTTGTATCACATACAGCTGGTATTTGAAAAATCCCTCAGTGGATTACAATATTGCCTCTGCTTATATACACTGTACAGTAATTAAGTAGCTGCATTCCAATGCTAGACCCGCTTTATGCTATAACATTAAAAATTAAAGGGGGGGGGGAGGATGATAGGAGAGGTTTAATAGCTGGTCTTAATACTGTTATATTTCATAATTAGTTGGTTACTGTAGAATTTGCTTCTGCATGTGGTTGTGGCTTAATGCATGGTTTTCCCCTTTTCCCTTTTTTCCAGTCAATCAATAACTAATTACAAGAAATTGAAACTTTCATCTCGTAGCCAAGAGCCAGATTCAGTGCTGAAAGCAAGGCGGAGACAGAAGTTGAAAGAGCAACAAGAACGCCGCCTGGTGGTGATGAATCGACAGGAGCATGGCAGTCGATTGGTGAAAGTAACAGTTTGGGCCCTAACGGCTGCCGTTGGAGTTGCAGCCTATGCGGTCATGTACGCAGCTACTGACTTAAATCATTGGTGGTACGGGCACTGATGCAAGTTAACTTAATTGATTTATTAGTTAATTTTATTTATTTTGTATAAGGCCACTTATAAGGATGTCATACAAACAGGATGGAATTTAATCTTTTGCAAAGGGCATTGTGCATTATTTCAATCACGAAAACAAGTTACATGAAAGAAATAAAAAATGGAATTATATCTTTCCAAGACTGCTTTCCTGTTGTTTCAATTGGATTAAAGTTTCAAAAAGAGATGATATTTACATGTCCTTTTTGCTGGCTTTTCATATAACTGGCTTAGATTTTATGTGGTGGTAGAGATGAGAAATTAAAACGTTGGGGAATTCGAGGCTCTGGTTTAGAACTACTCATGCATTGCATTTAAAGAATGAAAATAAGAAAGATAGTCTAATTAGTTAAGAAGAACAACTTAGACCTGTTATCCTTCCATACAAAATATTACTATGAATACTCAATTAGATGTTGTATAATTATGGAAAACATACTGGATGAGAACTTCAATTGTTTACCTTCATGTGTTTTGTGACTTGTGTCTTTGAAATTCTTGTGATTTTAGATATAACTTACAATACATTTCAATAGATAGTAATTGATTGAAGTCTACTTTGTGTAAAATTTGTATTGATTTAATTAACAGCTAAGCAAAAGTTGACAACAGTACGTGATATGTGTAGTATTTTACCTGTGAATTATTTTAACTGCCTTATGATTCTGGCAATCATCTGCATATTCAGTTCTAAATTAATGTTTTCTAGTTGTTTTGTGAGTGAATGCATGTTATTTTTTCCTTTTTTTAATGGGTCCTNGTGTAAAATTTGTATTGATTTAATTAACAGCTAAGCAAAAGTTGACAACAGTACGTGATATGTGTAGTATTTTACCTGTGAATTATTTTAACTGCCTTATGATTCTGGCAATCATCTGCATATTCAGTTCTAAATTAATGTTTTCTAGTTGTTTTGTGAGTGAATGCATGTTATTTTTTCCTTTTTTTAATGGGTCCTAGGCTCTGAGCCACTCAATCATGGGTTATTAGTCCCTTTATGTCAGTAGGTGTTGATCAGATACATATGTAAAAGTGGTCACATAATTTTCATCACAAAAAAAGTTCAGATTTACTAGTTTTAAGAATGAGCTACATGTAACTTTGACTTGGAGACTAAATGATCAGAGTTACCATCCACAATCTTCATGGACCTTCATGAAAATGTTAAAGTGTTGTAAGCGCAAGTCTCATTGATATGTGTCATATCTAACTTGAGAATAGCATTCTCTTTTCATCTTACCTTTGGACCATATAAAACATTTTCATACTAGTAGTGTTATTTAAACGGACATTTTAGGTCTTAAACTATTTTGACATGCATTAAGTTGTAGTTCAAAATTTAGAAATCAGTCAGTTTGAAACTAACAGAGCTCATTAGAGATTACACTTTCCTTATATTAATTTTGTTGGTTACCTTTGTTACAATTTTAAAAACTTGGCAAGTGTTCCTTATTCTTGAATAACGTTTTAAGTTTTGTAACGGTTTCAGGAAAGATGCCATATGATCCTATGATAAAAAGATATTCCACTTCCATACATGTATATCTTTACCGAATAAGTTATTAAAATTGGTAATAAATAATTATTATCTAAATCTGTCTTTGGGTAATAACTGGTATATAACTGTTAAAATGTGCCTTTAATTAATTTTGATTTAATTCTTGAAACATTCAAACTAAACCTACAGGGTGTGCAATCATTTTAATAATTGGATTGTCATTATCTACAATAGACAAATTCTCAATTGTTAAAGAAATTTGCAGAGTACAATTAATAGCTGATTCATCAGGTCCGTAATGTGCTTTAAGGCAGCGACACCTCGCATTCATACACTGTTTGAGGTGTCTGTCATAAACTTCCACTTGGGCCTGTCTTGTTTAAATGGCTGTCATCAATCCTAGCCAGATAAACTCGTAATATACTTTTACCTAGTGGAGAAGAAGTTTAAACCTTTCCTCAAACTTAAGATGTGGTAAAACTGAAAATTAAACTATAATTTTAGTGAATATATGCATCATCACAAGCTTTATACTTAAAACTAAAGCAGTGTGAAGCTAATGCAAATCTCACGAATTCATATCCCACATTGGGCTAAGTATTTTATTTCGCGGCAAGCTGCAATATTATCACAGAGGACAGCTAGATTGAAAGAAAATGGAAACAAAAATCGTGTCGTCGTTGGCAGTGAAACTAGGAATACGGTCCCCGAATATAGTAAGGTAAGTTTCTGGGGCACGTTACACTATGAATGTGATGACCACAATCATGTCAAATAAAAACCACCGCTGGCACAGGTAGCATTTATCATCAGTAATCTAAGACTAAATTTCGTCCACGCACTTGATTAACTAATTCAGTGAATATAAACTCATATAGGTAACTGTTCTTACTGTGATTAGAAGCACAGTCAAGTTCCTGTTTACAGTATCAAGAAGTGCAGGTATATAGTATTTGGTTTTGTTCATGCTGATTATCCAACCGCCTTGCATTCTTCTTTGTGTTCCCGCCCCCCCCCCCTTCATACACACAAAATTTATAATAATAATAATAATAATATAACTGCTTTATATCACTTTTGAATTAATGTTTACTTAAAAACTTACTGTTTATTATACATTACTTATATATTTGAGTGCATATTTTAGTAATATTAAACAGCGATTGAAATGGGGAAAGTCAAAATAGAATCGAAATATAACACAAAACTGATTTTGCATTTCCAGGAAAGCTGAAGAATATGTTCGCCTGTTGGATATCCGTGGTGGATCAAGCACCTTATCTGCCCTGGCACTAACTGGCTCCTGTATATCCGTCATCTGTATAGATCTAGCAGCAAGAACAATGGGAGCCACCATTGATAAAGTAAGGAATCACGATTACTGTATAAGCTTACTGTTAGTTAATTTTTATAGCCAAATTAAAATTCTGAACAAAGACAAAGATGAATCAGACAAAAATGTGTTATATTTCATTTGAATTCGGATATGATTAGCATTTTGCTAAAATTAACTCACTTACTAGTAGATTGAGACATAATGAATTCACATTGAGATTAAATTTTTTTACATTTGTTTAAACATTTTGTAGCATGGCATATTTTCAGCTTTGGCATCTTTCATATTTGTCAGAAACATTTTAAATCTATTTTAATCAATTAATATGCTACCATTCATTGAAAACCCTGCAGGTTTTCTTAACCAAGTTTAAAGTGACTTTATTAAAATCAAACTTTCACAGTTAAATATTTATCTTTTAAATTTGTGAAGAAACTTGCTGCCAAGTTTGCAGGAGTGAACAAGAAAGCCTATACCACTGGATACAAGACTCTAGAACACATGTTAGATCTGCAGCCACACATTTCAATACACAGTCTGGCTGTGCAGTTTGGTTGTACTAATGCTACTGCCCTGGCTAGACAGGTGCTTCAAAGGTAAGTGTATATGTGCATGCTTAAGAGAGCCTAGATAGTTACTGTCATAATAATAATAATAATAATATTTAATAAAAATAGTAGAAACATTAACTGTTCGCATTCTTTTTTTATTTCAGTGCACGTAATAAAGATAATAGCTGTAATTCTTTTGCTACGTCTTCTCATTATCATTATTACCCTGGGGTAACGCTAACACTCGCCAATTTAGCCAAATGCTAAAACTGACTTAAATGGGCTAAAGAAAAAGGGCTTGATTTGACATGTTTTAGCCAAATTATAACAATTTTGATAACAAATTGACAAAAATGTGGTGATTTGGCTAAGTGAAAAAAATTGCTAGCACTACCCCAGTTACCTACTAGTAGTATCATTGGTGTGAAATTCTTTTTAAGTCACAACAGATTACTACATGCAGTCCATAATTCACAGAATTATAGCAATGTGTATTACACCACAGGTATTCCTTAGAATTCAGTGAGAAGTTGACTGCTNGCATTGAAGTCCCCAAACACAATGCATTTGCCTAGTTTTTCATATTTTGACAGATCCTCCTCTAGAATATTGAAGATATCTTCCCTTTGGCTGGTATAGGAGCTTCCAACTGGACTGATGTACACGTTACACATGTAAACATCTTCTCTAAGATTGAAGAATTCCTTTTGTAGTTTTATCCACATGAGCTCCGAGTTATTTCGTTTGATAAACATAATCCCTTTGAGAATTTCACTCCTTACCCCTATTGCTAAACCCCCAGATGCCTTGGGGGAATTTTTTGATCTCGGTCTGAGGTTTGATTCAATATGGAACCCCTCCAGGTGAAGGTTATCATTGACATCACAGTGGGTTTCAATCAAACAGAAAATGTCCAATTGATGTAGTGCAGATTGGAAGCATGGCAAGTCAAGTTTGCTTACCCTTTCATTCCCAATCCTCATGAACATACCATCTATGTTCCATGCACCAGCTCTTAAACTCCGAGGAGAGCTGTGCAGCATTGTAAATGAGAGTTATATACCAAGTCAAAGGTACTGTTAATGGATGGAGATGACTAGCTACTGGTTATATGTATGTATTTTAACTTCAGATGTATGAAGCTTAAAATAATTAATAAATAAATGATATCTGAGCAATGCACTGTTAAAGTATCACTCTGTTTATAGTGCCTCTTCTTACCGTTACGCTGTGACGACTAACTTAACTTAATAGTTGCCCTACTAACAAATGATAATTAACTTAAATAAATAGATAGGGTAGGTAATAATATATACAGCCATGCATACCTACAAAAAAAAAAAAAAAAAAAAAAAAAAAAAAAAAATTAAATCTTAAGTATATCTGCACTATACTAAAAATATCTTGATGAGGCATGTTATATTGATACACTGTAAGATAATCCACTTCTAACCATTATAATGTGAAGACTAACTTAAACATATAGTGCCACTGTTTACCATTTTATAATGATAAATAGCTTAAATAAATAGATAGATATATAAAAATATTTAATCCTACACCCAAAAATATCTGCTTTATTATGATAAATAGCTTAGATAAATTGATAGATATACAAAAATAATTAATCCTACAAACAAAAATATCTGCATATCGATAATGACACAATACTTCCTTATCTTGCTACTTGGCACTGAGATCTGGCATGTCCATTGAATCGTAGCAATTTCATGTACTATATACTCAATTACAGTTCATTGGGCTAGTAGCACCCTTGTGCTGCTAATAAATACATTTAAAGCAAGTCCCTTTAGAACCTTTTTTCAATTACTAGTAAAGTCAATGTTAAACCCTTTTTCAATTACATCATAATCCTCTTCTTGCACTCTTTCTACGACTGTCAATATTCAACACTTTCTCAATTGTGTCACGTAAGTTAGCTGCCAGCAGACTAGTGCCTTGGCGCGATAAATGGACACCATCTCTGTTGAACAGGTGTCTTTGTATAACTCCCCTTCGCATAAAGTTTCCATTTTCACAAACATGAAGATTGTTTACTTTGGACGAATGTATTTTGGATTTCAGCAGGGCATTTACAACATCTGTGTCTCTGTTCAGCATAGCATAGTCCAACCTTGGAGTTCCCAGAGATATGATAACTTGTGTCTGGGGTTGAGTCTTTGCAAAGTCCTCTCCCATTGCATATAGTCTCTCTGCACACTGAGCAGCCGATTCCTCTCCGACATCATTTGTGATTTCATGAAGAATAACACAATCAGAATCTAGGTTCTTGTTGTTGAACATAATGTTAGCAGCCTCTGGAGCTGTGTATGCTAAAACTGTCTCTGTCCTCGCAGCCGGCACAAGGCGATGGGGGATAATGTTTTTTATCTGGGAGTTCCCAATAAGGGTCACTGTACGTCTCCTTGATCTTTCGTGGCTGTTGCTTACTCCTCTCATGTCAGTGACTGTTTGAATGTGTTGTGGTGGTGTCACGACAGGGGTACGTAGAGCCTCCGAGTATGATAGTCGGGGTGGGGAGGAAGCACCGTTGACGTGGTTTTCTGCTCCTGAGGCTGGCACGTTGATGGGATGAGCAGATTGGTGTCCATCATTTTCTGATTCAAGGTTAGAATCTATCTCTGTGGGTGGGTAATGGTGCCTCTCTGCTGGGGACTCTGGTGTATCAAACAGTGTGGGGCTTATACTTCTGCCACCATTATAGCTACAGACTGATTTTCTCCTTTCCCCAGGAGCTGTGCTGCTAGTGCAACCTGCTGCATTAAAAGTGTTGTCATGGTCACACTGTACACTTGTTCTTCGTGCTTCATACATTTCCTCTCTGGATTTTTCCAGCTCAAGTTGGAGGTTGTCGCACTTGGAACGTAGGTTAGTTAGATCATCCTCTTTGTCTTTAATAACAGACATGAGCTGCTCAGCTGTATGGTCCCTTGCCTGCATGGCTGCAGTGATTTTATCCACTTTGGCCTGTAACCCCATCTTTTCTGCCTTAAATTTATTGAGTTGATCCTTGGCTGCTTGTTCCATATCCACCCTGAGTTTATGTATCTTATCTGTCACACTGTTTTTATCAGCTTTCTTAACGTTATCCAACTCACTCTTGGTTTTATTCAACTCCTTTCTCAGAGATGATACTTCAGACTCGAGGGTTTTCTTTTCATTTTTCACTAGTTCTAAATCCCTTTGTGCCAACTTGATCTTGAGATCAAGACACTGCTCTTGTAATTTATCAACCCATCTAGCCTCAAATTCCTTCAGAGTCTCAACCATAAAGGTTTGCGATTGTTCTCTCAGTGGCTCAGTTCGTGTCCCTTGGTCTGCTGCCTCTAGGGAAGTTTGCGTTTCAGCCTCTAAGAAGTCGTGGATAGTTTGTGTAGCTACTGCTGTTGTGGGTAATTGAGAGTTGGTGCTGACAGATTTACCAGTGAGTTGTGGCATTTGTGGCATTTCGTTATTGTTATTGTTAAGATGATTTAAAATGTCTGGGTCTGGACTGACACACAATTCACAAGAGAACTTTCTGCTGGAATTTCTAAGAGAGGTGAGCATATACGCAGGCAATGCTGAACAGGTAAAATGTATCCACCCTCTACAATTGCAACACTGGATCATGAATTCATTGTCAGGTGTACCGCACTGAGCTTCACATGCCATTTTATGTACGAGGCAGAGAGCAGCTCCTTCATCTACATCTGTACATACCCCTTTCTGTAAAGTTTCTATCTCTGGTGTTGCTGGAGTTTCTTGTTTTTTACTATCTAGAAATTTCCTGAGGGTCATATTGGACTCTTCATTAATATGTACCTCGATGTCAGTCTCAGGGATATCATAGGAGTTCATGAACTTTACCGCTTCTTCAATTGTTTCAAAGGCTTTGTGGCAGTTTCCTGGGAATCGCACTGTGCTGGCCTGGGCCATTGGCCACCGTAGAAAGATGCCGGGCTCTCTCCCAGATGCTACGGCGTAGAATTTGGTTGACGACATGGTTATTGTTTATCGTATCGTATATATCTATCTATATGAGATCGATCTATTGCCTGAGTAGTATCAGAGTTCCTCTAGGATACCAAGTGTACAAGTTAACCTCAGTTAACATGAGTTATAGACGCTGCTCGAGGTAACTCACCGGCTTAATAGTTTCAAATTATTCTTATTCCTTCTCTAACTCAGTTCTTTGTTCTTTGTTCTAACCATGACGCCGCTATTTGAAGTGTCTCTAGCTCTTGGAATCCTTGTGCTCGGCTAAATCTGTGTGTGCTGATGTGAAGATACTAAGTTCATTTTCCAGTTTCTGCTAGTCATTCCATCCATTCACTTCTGAATTAGTTATATTTTATCATAATAATCTGAACGATAGACAAAATCAAGCTAACCGCCATAGCCTCATTCTCGTTCATCGATGTGATGACCACAATTATGTGATGACCACAATTATGTGATGACCACAATTATGTCAAATAAAAACCACCGCTGGCACAGGTAGCATTTATCATCAGTATTCTAAGACTAAATTTCGTCCACGCACTTGATTAACTAAATCAGTGAATATAAACTCATATAGGTAACTGTTCTTACTGTGATTAGAAGCAGAGTCAAGTTCCTGTTTACAGTATCAAGAAGTGCAGGTATATAGTATTTGGTTTTGTTCATGCTGATTATCCAACCGCCTTGCATTCTTCTTTGTGTTCCCCCCCCCCCCTTCATACACACAAAATTTATAATAATGATAATAATATAACTGCTTTATATCACTTTTGAATTAATGTTTACTTAAAAACTTACTGTTGATTATACATTACTTATATATTTGAGTGCATATTTTAGTAATATTAAACAGCGATTGAAATGGGGAGAGTCAAAATAGAATCAAATATAACACAAAACTGATTTTGCATTTCCAGGAAAGCTGAAGAATATGTTCGTCTGTTGGATATCCGTGGTGGATCAAGCACCTTATCTGCCCTGGCACTAACTGGCTCCTGTATATCCGTCATCTGTATAGATCTTGCAGCAAGAACAATGGGAGCCACCATTGATAAAGTAAGGAATCACGATTACTGTATAAGCTTACTGTTAGTTAATTTTTATAGCCAAATTAAAATTCTGAACAAAGACAAAGATGAATCAGACAAAAATATGTTATATTTCATTTGAATTCGGATATGATTAGCATTTTGCTAAAATTAACTCACTTACTGGTAGATTGAGACATAATTAATTCACATTGTGATTAAGTTTTGTTACATTTGTTTAAGCATTCTTTAGCATGGCATATTTTCAGCTTTGGCATATTTCATATTTGTCAGAAACATTTTTAATCTATTTCAATCTGTAAATATGCAAATCATTCATTGAAAATGCTGCAGGTTTTCTTAACCAAGTTTAAAGTGACTTTATTAAAATCAAACTTTCACAGTTAAATATTTATCTTTTAAATTTGTGAAGAAACTTGCTGCCAAGTTTGCAGGAGTGAACAAGAAAGCCTATAGCACTGGATACAAGACTCTAGAACACATGTTAGATCTGCAGCCACACATTTCAATACACAGTCTGGCTGTGCAGTTTGGTTGTACTAATGCTACTGCCCTGGCTAGACAGGTGCTTCAAAGGTAAGTGTATATGTGCATGCTTAAGAGAGCCTAGATAGTTACTGTCATAATAATAATAATAATAATAATATTTAATAAAAATAGTAGAAACATTAACTGTTCGCATTCTTTTTTTATTTCAGTGCACGTAATAAAGATAATAGCTGTAATTCTTTTGCTACGTCTTCTCATTATCATTATTACCCTGGGGTAACGCTAACACTCGCCAATTTAGCCAAATGCCAAACTGACTTAAATGGGCTAAAGAAAAAGGGCTTGATTTGACATGTTTTAGCCAAATTATAACAATTTTGATAACAAATTGACAAAAATGTGGTGATTTGGCTAAGTGAAAAAAATTGCTAGCACTACCCCAGTTACCTACTTGTAGTATCATTGGTGTGAAATTCTTTTTAAGTCACAACAGATTACTACATGCAGTCCATAATTCACAGAATTATAGCAATGTGTATTACACCACAGGTATTCCTTAGAATTCAGTGAGAAGTTGACTGCAGCCCAGAAAGAAGACATGGACTTTACCAGACCAGTTTTCCAGGCCGCTGCTTTATCAGCAGCATGCAGGTGTGGAAAAGTTTTAATCATTCTGTGTGGGAGGGTCACTACTCAGGGTCTCTTCTGAAGACTGAAAATGTTTTTGCCCCCACCCCCCTGAAAGTTACCAGTGTCCCATGTTAAGCCTTAAAGGGATAACAACTCTTCATATGAAATCTATATTTCACAACAAAAAACATTGTAAACAACTCATAGAAATATAATATATCCTATTTTACCCCGTGCATGATACATATAATGTTACGTCCACTTTGATTTGATTACTTTAAAATGCAAAAAAATATATTAATGTTATCACTTCCCTTTGAATGTAGCATGTACTGGTATCATGCTTGTTTTTGATTCTAGGCAATTAAAAACTAAACTAGACAGAAGCAAGCTTATGGAAGTGTCAGGAGTAAAAAAAGTAGAATTTGACCAGCTTCAGACAGAGATGTCCAAATATGCTAATATGATACAAGGTGAACTTTTTAATGTATCTTAATGTACTCAGAGTTTAAGTGCTTAAAGTATGTACATCAATGTATTGATATATTGGTGCCAAGTATAGTTGTTTCACTATTAAAAAAACAAACAAAAAAATATATAATACATGTACATAGTAAAACAATACATCTGTGTTATTTAGCATTAAAAACATTAATTTTTTTCATTGACCAAAAATGCACATTGTCAGATATATGTACTGGAAGTGAATAGATAACTGCACACAGATATGATTTATTGAGATGAATGCCAGTGATATTAAGCCAACATAATATATATTTTTGTAGCTGATCAAAAAGCACCAAAGGGGAAGAGGAATCGGTCTTTTATAGAAGAACTAGGTCTGTCTTTTCAAGGTAATGTTAAACGTGTTAAATTTATTTACTGTAATTACAGATGGCAAATATCGATTAAGTACCCTAAGCAAAAATTGGATTTTGTCATCACAGTTTATTTTAAAACACAGCCAAAGGCTTAATTGCTAAACTATTATTTTAATAAAAGTTCGTCCAACAACGACAAGAAATGGGGAGGAAGGGGGGGGGATCAGTCATTCAAATCCTTTTTAATTTGGTAGTACGACCATGTAGGTTTGTTAGACTACCATTCTACATTTGTCCTTGTCTGAATGCCACTTCAGATGTTTTCTGCAGTGTTAACATGATACATTCTATACTTATGGGAAGAAAGCAGGTGCTCAGTTGCAATACCCCTACATAGTTTATTGAACTATTGGCAATTATACTCATCAGGTTGACCACTTGATAAGAGATATTTGATAGTGGTGGTGGGGCAGTCCATTCTTCACGGGAGGGGGGAGAGCACTGTCTTTCAAAGCTGCCCCTTTCTTCCTTTTCTCCCTCCCCCCAAAAAACAGAATGACAAGGCAAGTGAGACAAGAAAATTTTTCTTTCCTGGAATCCTACATAGGGTCACGGGAACCATCAGGACTAGTAGACACATTGAGCGTTGAATTCAGTAATCCCAGATATCAGGACAGACAATCTAAGGAATACATGCTAGAGGGACTACTTATATAATATTTTTAACTGTATTCTGTTTATGCTGCATAATTTTTGTGTATCTCGTTTTATTTCATCTCATTTTAATTAATTTATTTTATTCAATTTTTCATTCATTTTTATGTACAGACACAGATGTGTCTGTACATATTGCCATCACCTGCGTCTGTCGTCACTGGTGTCGCCGTCGTCGCCATGCACTTTCCTTGTAAACACCATAAGTGGAAGGCAGTTTTACTTTTNGGGGGGGGGGGGACCCTTCTCCCCGGGGGGGGGGGGAGCCCTTTTTTTAAAACCCCCCCCTTTTCCTTTTTCCCCCCCCCCCCCCCCCCCCCAAAAAAAAAAAAAAAAAAAAAAAAAAACAGAATGACAAGCCAAGTGAGACAAGGAAGTTTTTCTAAACTTGAATCCTACATAAGGTCACGGGAACCATCAGGACTAGTTGAATTCAGTAGTCCCAGATATCAGGACAGATCGATCTAAAAATCTATGGAAATGGGGTGTAAGACATGCTTGTGGGACTACTTTTACAATCTATTTAACTGTCTTCTGCGTAATTTTTATGTATCTCATATTATTCCATCTCATTTAAACTAATTTATTTTATTCAATTTTTCATTCATCTTTTTAAGGTGGTTATATAAATAAATAAATAATCTATTGATTTATACTTATCTAGTAAGCGAGGCAACTTTTTTTACATCCTTGCCCTCCACCCCCACCTCCCCACAAGAGCATCAATATGATAAGCCTTTGTGATTACTCCAGCACCAGAAAGAACAGAGCTTTAATAGATTTGCCTTTCTTCCAGATGATGATTTTGTCTCAGATGCTAAAGTTACAAAGGTAGAAGAGGCTAAAGAAGCTGATGACAGTGACTATGAAGAATGGAAGAGGAGGATTTTGGAGGAAGCAGACAAAGCTCTTGGAAATAGCTAAAGCCATTTTTTCCATGGAAATTATAACAAGATTTAAATGAAGAGTAGACATAAGAATGGGACATTATTATAAATGATGGTGCTTGGGAAATAAGTTAATGAAAGATTTCCCCAAAAACTTAATAAGTTTTCTTCTTTTTTATAATTATTTGATATTAAAAACTTGAATAAAGAAATTTTACAGAAATTGCTGAAAAGTTTTTGTGGATTGTAAACATGCTTTATTAACATTTTAGTGATAGCAGTTATATCAAAGTAGCACAACCATATTTCTGAGGTGCTGTTGTCATAGAGTACAAATATGTTGTGATTGAGACAACACAAATACATAACATTGACGAATTACAAACAAGTTAAGTGATATACTAGGAGCAATGTACATATTTACTTGGCAAATAACCAATTATTCAGGTTGCAAAAATTTATTTATTGTGTGAAGTATTGATACTTGCAAAGTATTGATTAACATCTCCACTGGCAGGAAGACTTATTTGTACAAAATGATGTATTCACAGTGCTTGATTCGTGGATGTTTAAAATGTGATAATATTCAACTCTGCCTAGGAATATCTCAAAGAATATTTCAAAGATGACTGTAAAGTATAATACTTTTAGAGGTATTTTGCACACATTAGATCAACAAATTGAATGCAAAGATGTTTACAAGAAAAGCTATTTCCACTTAAAATTTAGACCTGTGATTATATATTTTACATATTATATATTTTGGACAAACCTTGTAGCAATTCTAAAGTTTATTTGCCTGAAACTCTTGGAAGTTTAAAAAAATCATTGGCTTCACTTGTCCAATAGAAATATTGAAAGGCAAAAAAAAAATTCAAACATTTATTTTATGTGCCCTCTTGAAATTCTTTTTTCTTATGTGACAGTTTTGGTCAAAATATTTTTTCACACCTTATCAGTGATTGTCATGATTTCAGATCTAGAAATAATTCACCTACTTCTACAGTTCTTTATAGCCCATATTTCTCTTCCTTAGTGCTATGACGATCAAAAATAAATCTTTAAAAAAAGCAGCCAATACAGGTTAGACCTTTATATAGCAAAAACTAACCAGACTACTCTTACTATCAAAATAAAATTCAGCTAAAAGTTTCAAAACTTTGAGACATTGATTTTATTTTTATTTTATTTTTATTATCATGATTATTTTTTGCTATTATTTTTGCTAAATAAACAGCTTCTGACATGCATTGTATGCCTCTAAAGTAATAAATAGTATTACAAACAAAATTATGATTTAGATTGCCGAAGCTTGTCTTGGGGGGTATGGTGGACAATCTCGAACAGAGTTTCTCTGTGTTTTCTGTATCGTTATTAATCCTATTGGTGGGTAACAGTGCATCTGTTTAATCTTGGCCATTCTGATCATTCTTTGCTGCCATTGACGTAGAAATATAGGCAAACGTGCCTATTATTCACACACAAACCCAGCGTTGTAGCTAGTGCTTGTACAAGCAAGATCTTGGTAATCGATGCCACCACCCCATTTCATAGCGAGGCACGGTTCATTCCCGGCTCCATCTATTGCGCCTCCCCCAACCCCGGGATTGTAAAATACAGAGTTGGGACTGTTCTTCCAAATACAGACACTATTGACACACTCCGCATCACACCAGTATCCATTATCTGAAATTGAATTTGATTCTTTGTTACTGAAAGAAGATGCAAACACAACCCCAAACTTGCTTTTACAAGCATAAACACAAAGCCACACACACTCGTACTCACAGGAATATAAATAAAGCTGAAGCCAAAGCATATTTAAAAAACTGACAGTTAGTAGAGGCCTTGGGCAATAAGGGCTGAATATTCCATCAATGCAAACCCTAAATACTTACATGAGGTGGAGGCTACATTGGCGTCAACAAAGTTCCATTCTTGTGCGTCGTTTATGGCAACAAGGATCATTCCCATGTTTTGACAGCACGCCTGGGCAGCCTCCTGCGACCGTCCCTGTTTTGGGTCTCCGAAGTAGTAGTTTTTACCCGCGTATTGTAACGTATACCCTGGCCCACAATTAGGATCTGAAACTGTATTAAAACAATTCTTTAATTGCAAGTTAATTTTTGAAACATTTATGTTTATCTGTAAGACTACGTACTTTTGTGGTTATGTGTGATACCATGTTTACTTAATTTTTCACTCTTTTTAAATACATTTGCATGTCTCTGACATGCATTTATTCATACTCACCAATGCAGTCAGACGCACTTGTGGACCCTGTTGCCGCCGTTGTGGACCCAGATGAACAACTGACACAAGATACCGCTCCAGTTGCACTCTGGTATTGCCCAATGGGACAAGCTGTGCAGGCCGCCTGTCCTACAGAGCTTTGGTAGTGCCCCACAGGGCACTGGATACAAGTTGACTGCCCGGTTGAGTTCTGATATTGACCAGCAGGGCAAGAGGAACAGGTTGTCTGACCGATGGTATCTTGGTAGTGGCCCGCTTGGCAGAGGGAACAAGTTGCCTGCCCAGAAGAACTCTGGAACTGCCCGACCGGACAAGGCAAACATGACGTTGACCCGTTCTGGTTCTGGTACTCTCCTACAGCGCACGGTATGCAGGTCTGAGACCCAGTTTCGCTTTGGAATTGCCCAGGTGGACATGGAAGGCATTCTGCAGACCCACTTTCGTTTTGGTAGCTCCCGCTTGGGCACGGGAGACACGCTGACGAGCCATATTGGTCTTGGTATTGCCCAGCCTGACAGGCGACACAGGCACCTTGCCTCACACCATTGGCACACCAGTCGCAGGTTTCGTCAGAATCCGTGTTGGCGTTGTAGTGACCCTGTGGACACGAACCTTAAAAGGAGATATTATCATTGATTATTATATTTCTCTGGTTAGGTGCATCAGTTGTAATGGTGATTTTTTCTTTTTTACTTTCCTTTCTTTCTTTCTTTCTTTTTTTCTTTCTTTCTTTACTTTTGTACCAAAACAAAACCAGTTTTTAGACTATCAGATGTTAAGAAGCACCCTGAGGGTGTAAGTCTAGACTTACCAATACTGGAGCAAGTCTCTTCTGCCAGTCCAGTGTACTGTAAAAAAAAAGGATAATTCAGGATTTTATTGCTGCTCAAGATAACAATCATTATGGCCTGTTGCTCTGACACCTTGACTTTCGGAGATAATCTAGAAACCGAGAAGTTGTAGAGACTTGTAGAAACTCAACCCTATATTCTCAGCATGTCCACATAACGTATGCCTGTAGTGACAGAAGTGAGTTTCCAGAATTGCTTTGGAACTCGGTGTGTAGACTAACTCTGCGGATTCCACGTGAAATCGCCAATTTTCTGCACCGCACCAGCTTCACCAAGGCAAACTATGCAACAACATTACTGTAACATGTGATCACACAGTTTTTGCTCCATCTCACAAGCCCCAATTTACCAATCAAAATTAATCCGGTTAACTGGCCGTGTCGCGTGCGAGTGCTACTCTCTGATACCACAGGCTCCGATACAATAATTTTGTGAAAGACTACTAGCAGATCCCGTTTAGGTGACTCTTAAGTAAAAGGCAGGTTATTTGGGTCTACATTTTGTTCTCAATCTTTTGAATTAAAGTGTCTCAATATAAAAAGGACCAAGAACCCTATAGAATTTGCCAGTAGTGACATTTCTGTATCAGCAACACAATTTCTCAGGCACGCCGACATGACCGTCAGAGCAAATTTCATACAAGGAAATTGCACAAAAGAGAGAGGGGGAGAGATACGTTTGTTTGTGAACGTTTATGCCTCTAGCAGTGGCGGATGTAGAGGGGTGGGGAGGTCAGGGGGGTCCTGACTCCCCCCCTTCGATTTCTGGTCCCCTCTCGTAATTAGAATTTTGACTAGCTGGTCTAAACCGTACCAAATGGCACCGTTCGCCCTCTAAAATACCAAAAAATTTCCTGGAGTGTGTGTGTGTGTGTGTGTGTGTGTGTGTTTGTTCAATGTATCCAAGCCGACTGGATGGCGATTTGCACTAGTAATAGTGCATAAAACGTCCTTATAACTGACAACAGCAAACATCAAATTTTCAAAACGTCATCTCTTTGAAATGATAAAACTGATGGAAGCTGCCGGTAGGTAAATCAATCAAACCTTCACTTACCACACACAAGATATCCTTTCATATTGTATTAAAATTAATGGATTAATATTTCTGAAGTGCCGTATCAGCTTTTCTGTCAACGGCATCAATCTACCTTTCTCTTTAAAAACTCAGCATGCCGTTTCAAATTGTCATAATAGAATTATATACTAGTAGTCACAAAAAGGGCATTTCGAATTAAACGTATACTGTAAAATCTTTGTGTGATGGGGTATAAAGTCATAGGCCTACCGGTCCCGTTCATTGCTGTACGTATAAGATATTATTACCATCTCCTATATTCATTGGTTATTTTTCCTACTTTTTTCCCTTTTATTCATTCTTTCTCACGTGTCTTTGACTTTAGCAGGCACTGACCCTCTGATTTGACTGGGTCTTTCTCTCACAGTCAGGGACCACAGTATAAAAAAGTGTAATCAGATTGCGTTATCCAAAGATGTGAGCCCATAGTTTCCTGGGGTTTTATTATTAAAGGTATAGTTCATGTTATGTGGGGTCGGTTATAATTAAGAGGTCCCCAACAAGTAAAAGGAAGGTCCCCCGCAAATAAAGGACGGTCCTCAACAACTCGTGGTCAGAGATAAGCCAGTCGTTTCTCGCGCCCGTTTCTCAGTCTTTACCTTGTCTTTACCTTGCCC